TTCTTTGGCTGGCACTGCAATTTATGATCTGGGTGTATGAGCCCTAAGAGAAAGTGTATATTTAGAAGAATGTGTTAATGTTTATTTTGATTTTTGTTCATCTGTAGATTTTAATTATCAATGTATTTTACTGTTATAAGCAAATAAGTTGGAAGCTGCAGAAAGTTTTACAGATAGCAAAACACTACTTTCCAAATTCAAAGATAAACAAGTAAGCTGGGACTGAAGCAGGAAATCAAGCTCCTTTCTCTGCACATCTTGCTGTCCCACATATTGTCTGGTTTCACTGAGCAGGCTGAGACTGAAACTTGTGCCTTTGTCACATCAAACAGAGCTTTTGCTGGAAGCAGATATAATGGATTGCTGGACTGATACATCAGTTGACTGATACACCATTTGATACATCAAATCCGGTGTTTCAATTGGCTTGTCTTTGACTAGAAATCCTGTTGTTTCCCTCCCCCCTCCCCCTTAAATCGTATGGCGTTTTTTTTCCTTATATTGCCAGCAATACAATCTTTGGTATCACTTTTAGGGATTTCTTTGGGGGATTTCACTGCTCTCAGGTGTAATATGAATGAAATCCTGTTCTGTGTTAATTTGCCATTTCCTGATGCTGGCTTCAGCAAGGGTGTCACTGCATTCCTGCAAGTAATCTGTGCAAGCCTGAAGCATGGCACCAGCATTGTGCATGAAGCAGCCAGGAGGGTTGTGGTTTCACCAAATGTGCTGGGAAGATGGGTTTGGGAAGTGGTAAGGGATGTGGGAGCGGCCGCTCCCTTAAGATTGTACTTTTCATCATATAAAGTAATTCTAGTCTGTGTTGCTGCCATCTATGTATGTGTATAATGTTGATTTGTCCTCTAACCCAAGATTCCCTTCATTGCAAATGAAGCGTTAGTAGATAAAACCACAAACTGAAAAGGCAAAAAAGGGAAGCAACGTCAAAACTACAGAAGACTATTGCTAGTAACAAGCAGTTCTGCCTTCCTTTTCTCCTTGTGTTCTCTGAAATAGCAGCTACAGGTGGCCTGTGGAGTTGGAGCCTATGTCTGTTCTCGTCTGAAAGAACCTGGAGCCAAACTGAAAAATGACCAATTTGTACATCTTTTCAGCATAGTGCATTAGTTTGGAGGACATTTATGACATAATAATGCTTTAAGCATTATTAAAGCTGTTGTGTGAAATAACCTGAAAAGTTATCATTAAAAATGGCATGATTTTAGAATTTTTAGAGGATAGATAGTGCTGTATTTTCAGCACAGAAAAGAACTTCTTGCTGTATCGTTGCTACACTGCACTGCAGTTGGCCTTGGGGCTGCTTCTGAGAAGGCAAACAGTTAAAGTTTAACATCACATCCTGTTGGTCTGCTGTTTCTTTCATATGATTTGGAGCTGACAGATAGCAGAGGCAGCTAATCATTAACAGTTCCTTCAACCTCCAAGTTCAGTTTTGCTTCTGGAATTAGCTGGCATGTTCCCTTGCACCTAGTTATAAGGGCAAAGGCATTTGTTTAATGATTTAGCTTGTATTTGCTTCCCAAAGAGAACATACTTCTAGAAGGACTGTCTCCTCCTAATCAGTACAGTGCTGGGCATCTTCCTACTGGATTGTGTTGTTCACAACTGAGAATCCTGTCTGTATTCCCCAAACCTTAACATTTTGCCACATTTATTTCAGCACAGGCCACATGGACTTGAAGCTGGTCTGACTGTTTCCTACTGCGTGTTACTCTGCCTTAAGCCAGGCCTGTTTGCTATGGTTTACGTCTCTTCATCTTTGAGGGGTAGAAGTAGGTTTTGTGCATCGTATCACGAACTGCTTACTGCTGTTAGGGTATCAGTGACTAAACCATAAAATTTCACATTGACATCAAGCAAATAGATACAGATACTAATGTAGAAATCACAGAATCACAGAATTGTAGGGATTGGAATGGACCTCAAGAGATCATAGAGTCCAACTCCCCTACTAAAGCAGGTACCCTACAGTAGGTTGCACAGGTAGGTGTCCAGATGGCTCTTGAATATCTCCATAGAAGGAGACCCCACAACCTCTTTGGGCAAACTGTTCCAGTGCTCTGCTGCCTTACGTAAAGAAGCAGCCAGCAGTTGACATGCAATCTTTATTGATCTATTAAAGGTCACTTCTGCTGAGGAAGCAAAATGTTGTTTAGTAGCTGATGGGCAGCATATTGTCCTCCTCAAACATATGGTTTGCATAGGCCAGAACACTGCCTTGTGTTTCTAGTGCACCATATGTGGTAATGAAGAGTTGCAGTCGCATTTGCTTTGAAGAGCAAATGAGCGTCTTGCACAGGCACGCCTGCATGCCATTCACAGCATACATGTACAACATCAATTTCTGGCCCTGAACTAAAATACAGATAGCATTCTCTTTGCTTGGTCTGAAATCTGTGGAAAGACTTTACAAATCTCTGCTCTATGTTTAATTTTGGATAAGCTGTCTGATATAATTAATACTTACTCTTTTCCTGTTCCGAGGATTTTTTTTTTCCATAAACAAGAATTTGCTGCAGAACTACTTCAGTCATTTTCAAAAGCATGTGTGGTACAGCATCTGTTCCTGGAATCTCTTATCCTCTGCTCAGTAATTCCATCAATAGTTGATGGAATTTTCATTGTTCGTTGCAGGGAGGAAAAGTCGGTCTTATGGACCACCTGCCAGGAAAAGATGAATCTTTTTGTATGGTGAAGGGCTTATGCTTTTTTTCCTTTGCCATCGACATTAAGAGAACTCTTAGTATTAAAGATGTGTTTTTGCCTATGCTGTGCAGAGGATTAATTTATTAGTAGCAGCAGATTCTGCTCAAAGAAGTGAAGCACAATTATGTATTTCCATGTGCATAAGAGTATTTTAAAACATCCTCTTTTGAAACATTGTACTATGTGCCTTAAATTGCCACCCTCCTTGGTATCTCCTGCTGTTTGGGTGGCTGAAGTGGCAGTGTTTTTTTATTTTTGATGTTGTTTTTCCCTATGCTGTTGTCATGTATTAAAAATGTGAGGAGTTGCACCTTTGAGTTCTGCAGGATAGTTTGAGATCTTGCATTTTCGTGGCTCATTGAAAGGATTTGTGTCACACAGAGAAATTGGAAGAAATGATCTAAGAACATATAGCAGAATACTCAAATAATAGTTGTTGATCTTGCTGAAAACCTGCTGAAGGACAGAACTTAAACATATATTTCAGTCTCTGAAAGGAAAAGAACAAATAATTGCTGGAGCTGAAGAAACACAGCTAGTCTTGTTCTGAAGTCTTTGCTCTGTCTTCTGTGAAATTGGCTGCCAGAACAAATGTGGGTGCACTGGCTGATGTTTGATACTGATGTAATGGCGAGTGCGTGGTGTCTGGGATTGTCTCATTTGGAAAGGTGCTTTTTTTTGCCCCCAACAGGTAGTTTTCAGTGCCTGAATGTTTAGAACAATGAAGCTTGCTCCACAACTTCGTTGGGATGTGTAATGAACTCATTCCAAATAACCTAATGCAATCACACTCATTTAATATCTTATTTTGCGCTGGAAAAAAAAAATTATTTCTGTTAAGATTCCTCACTTTTGGAAGTAAAAGACCCTTCTGCAATGTTACAAGCTATTTGTTTTTCAGCTTTTACCTGTGAAAACAAGCTTGCTTAATATCCACTCGCGTTCCCACTTGCAATATGCAGTGCCATGTAGTGAAACTATTCAGGAGGATTTTATTTCTTTCTATTCCTAAAAAAAATAAGGATTCTACAAGCATGTACACTAAATTTAGGAAAAATAATTTCATCAAGTGGAGGAATTTCATAGTAAACTTTGAGCACTGAGTTCTGTCTTTCCTGGAGATTGGAAATGGTCATTTTTTTGATGCTTACCTTTCTCTTTATCATTCTGCCTCATGTAGAGTCAGATACAATCTAATTTAATGCTTCATCTTTGATTCTGTTTCACTGAAGATAACATTGCAATTAATATCCACTTTAACTTTTGTTGTTTCTAGAGATGTACCCAAACCTACGGGTGGGTGAGGAGTTTTTCCTTCTTCCTCAGCTTTGACACTGTTTCTCCATGAGAAATTGATGCTTACACACTAAGCATTATTTTCCTTAGTAGTGATTCAATAGATTTTATTCAAAGTGACGAATAGTGGTAGCTTTTGTCAGATACTATATTCTGCAATGATATCCTGAGGTGCCAGTAACTACTTAAACCAGGGAATTAAATCCCTGCATTTCAAATAGACTTTCTAGTGGTGGGATTTACTGTGGCTGCCCGGTGCTTGATCTGCGTGTGTTCTCCCTTGGATAGGGTTTAAGCAGTGGTTCTCTTGCACACTGGAAGCACACGTGTGTTATGTGAAGCTCAGTTTGATCCTACACAGTCTGCAGGGCTGACCTTTCATTCCTCTTCAGGTATTTCCTAATGAAATGATGGAGCTGGGCATGAACGTGGCTTCTGTATTCCCTTAAGAGCATCTTTAAGGCTCTGAAGGTGCCATAGACTGTGTGAGTGAAACTACCCTCCATGCTGTGCCTGCCAGTTCTGTTGCAGACTGTGACATGCACCAATGACTGCTGAAAAAGATTGCCTCCCAGCTTCCCAAGACTTGTGCCCTCTGGGACTATGGGCAGGCTGCTGAGCTTGCCTACCCTGGGTTCCCAGCTGGCAACCTGCAGTCATTTATCACTATTGTCAGTCATAAGAATGTTGAGGGTTAATCTGCACATGCTGTATCTGCATAGTGTCTTTAGAGCGTCAAGGCAATAATGTATAATTGTAATTTTATTATTAATATTGGTTATTTCATTAAAGTGTAATTTTCAAGCAATGTTCATGTTGATTAAACTCATTTTGTCAATGAGTTGGCATCCTTCCAGCAGCACTATCTCGGTTCAAAATCTTTGTCTAATAGTGTGGCCTAAACATGTAGATAGATAGCTCTGAAAAGAAAATAACAAATGCCTAAAGAAACCCATCCTTTCTTGTTTTTAATCTAGACTGTGGACATCCATAAAGAAAAGGTTGCTCGCAGAGAGATAGGCATTTTGACGACCAATAAGAACACATCAAGAACTCACAAAATTATAGCGCCAGCGAACATGGAGCGTCCTGTAAGGTATATTCGAAAACCTATAGACTACACGGTGCTGGATGATGTTGGCCATGGCGTAAAGGTAAGAACACCTGAACACATGAGAACTCCAAGTAGTACAGACCAGGAGATAAGGTTAGGCAGAATGACCTTAAAATGTTGCTCTCGTTTATGTTAGGGAGTACTGTGGGTTAGACATGCTCCCACATGCAAACATTTTAATAATAGAATTAGTTGTTTTATGAAGATTTTTATTATTGTTGTTAATTATTTAAGCAGTGTTTGCCATAACTTTGTGACTAGCAGTGGTAGTCAGGGTCTGAAAGTAATGGCTTATGATCTTAGCCTAGTGACTCTCAGAAAAGCCATGACTAAATTCTAAAATTCTGAATACTTTCTTGCCTAATTAACTTTTCTGTCACTCCCTTTATTTCTTTAACTTTTAAGAAAAAATCAGTCATCTGTTGCAGGGAAACAGGCTAATTGTTTTTTGTTGTTTTTTTTTATTTATTTTTGGAGAGTATGGAATGACAGACAGGGACTGGTAGGAGCAGGATTAGCTAGTTGGCATTGAAGTGTCAGTGGCTCTTAACATCTCCCTCTCATTTGTGCTTTTGGGCAGCCTGTTTTGCCTCTCTGAATGAAAAGCCTTTGTAAATTTTGTCCACTGCTGTTGAAGTGGTTATGGGTAAAATGAATTTAACACCCTTTCTCCCTGGCTATCTTTTTATAGCAGATAATAACTTTGTATACTCCCCAGAGCAGGCCTTCCGGTGTATTCTGTTTACAGTACTTCTCTTGAATAGTATTAAAAAGCTTTTATTCACAATCTGTGTATCCTCTACAGCCTGATGTCCTCTGGTCAGAGCAGCTAGCCTTCATGAGCCCTTTGGCTGAGCTCTCAAGGAACAGATATTTCAGAATTCATACAAAAGAGTACTGAAGGTGCATTGTAGTAACTCTGTGAATGCCCAGAGAAGTCTGATTCCAACACAAGCTGGAATGCATATCTATACCATGACTGCTCCAGGATATGAATTAACATAGTGGCTTTTAGCTACCTGATTTATTTTTTTACACTTTCTGGCAATCAAACCTGTATCTAAACCTGTACTAATCTTGTAACTTTTAGGGTTGCTTTACACTTGTTATTTGAGGCAGGCTGGGTGGAGCCTGTCCTGTGTAGAAACATGAAAGATTAGCCCTGAATTGCTGCAAAATAGAAACACGGGGGGCAAAGAAACTGTTGATTTTTCTGCATGCATACAAGGAGAGAGCTCTATGAATACAGAATGCGGGAATTGACAAATTCAATGTCAAGATATTGGTTTCTGCATTTAAGTGCTCCAGGAGTCAGATGCTGCAGAAGGCATTTTTAAAAGCAGAATAATTATTGTTAGTCCTTGAAGTTAGTGCTTTGCTACACTGACCCAAAACTAGTTGCTGAGTCTCTAAATGCTAAAGTTAGCTGTAGCAGTTGCATTTTCTAGTATAGTCATGTTCTTAAGAGTACGAGTGTCTTTACAGTTGTGACCCTTTTTATTGAAGGAGTGAAAAAGAGATGCCAACTACCTGTTTTTAGACAGCTCTTCTTAATAAAGATTTATTTTTTTTAAACTGCATCTGGTTTAATCTAGTATAACAAACTGCATCTGTTTCAAGGTAAAATAGCATCCAGTAATAACCAAATTAGCAGCATTATTAAGTTGGCTACAAACTACATCTGGCTATCGTTTCTTCGAGCAATATGCCTGTTTTATGATTGTGGAAAGTATGAAACTCTAAGTAGAAAGGTGATATTGCTGTTCAGTATGTAGACTTTTTACGCAAGTGAAATAAGCTGCTGGGTCATCCTCAGGTAGATATTGAAGGCATCTGTCATACTTTTGACACCTTCATCAGTATTGACCTTCAGTGGATGCATTGTGAGAAGACTGGGCTAAGACAGGAAATGATGTAATTACATGTGTTTAGCCAACATTTTACTGGGTTTCCTGGAGTGTGACGCAGATCACAGCTATCACGGAGTTATCTCTAGATCTATCTGTGTCTGTGACAGGGGAACAGCAGACTCACAGCCCCACCAGCATGGAAAAGAAAAGGAGAAAAGGAGAAGAGTAGGGAGATGGAAACTGGGCCTTAAAACAGAACAATGGCAATGATCTGAGGAGGAAAGTTAGTTTACTAAATATGATATCAGAACACTTGATAACACACTGTACAATATATAATTGGAATTGAAGCTAATAAATCAAATAAAATGAGAGAGAGTGTCCAAAACCAAAGGCTTTGCTCTGAATTGAAGGCGAAATGGCTGGAGAGCACAGCCACACACTGCCAGGCAGTGAGAGAGAGTCCCATGACTTGCCAGCTTTATCTTCTCCTCTGAACACAAAGTCCTCTGGGGTTTGTAGCTCTTCTCTTCCAAGAGCCAGGTATTTGGAAAATCAGTGGTCCATGGAAATGGGGCATTAACTCTTTAACTCCCTGTTAAAGAGGTTAAATGTCTGTTCCACTCCTTACCTTTCCTTTTGAAGGGTCCCGTATGGATGAAATGTCCATAAGGAGGAAAGCTGCCTTTTTTTTTTTTTTTTTTAAATATATATGCCTATGAAGTCAGGTCTAACATGAGTCAAAATGGGGAGGACTTTCCCTTACTAGACAAACACTTCGTGTAGATGGCCTCAGGAAACACACAGACCATCATTTTTGCCAGTCCCCTGAGTAGTTGCTTAGTTGTCACCCTCTGGGGATAGGGGAACGTAGCTGAAGTCATTCTTGGTGAATAAGAGTAACGGTTGTGAAGTGAGAGCCCACCTTCCTGTGTAGAGAGCTTGGTTTGAATTATTAGGCAGAGGTTACTTTAACATTTCCTTCCTTCTTTTCCCCTTCGTTTGTCAAAGGAGGGTGGGAGGGGGGAAGTAATGTGCCAGCAAATAAATAGGTCAAATACAATTACACATACAAAACATCCCCAGTTTAAGAGGGGAGGAGGAGGAGGAAGCTTCAAAAATGCCTTGAAAGCCCTGGAGTTGGCTTTAGAATTTGTTGCAATCTTTTTTTTTTTTTAATAGATGGCAGATGGAATTGCAGCAAAGTAGGAAGTTGAAATGATTGCCTTGTGGTGAAGGAGGTGGTGTAGAATACATGTGAAATTTAAATGTCTAATAGTTTTAATTAGAACAAATTTGCAGTATGCAGCAAACAGTTCTAAAACTGTCTCAAACTATGTCTGAAGATTGATCACTTTTCAACTGCTTGGAGAAAATTTCTGAATTTCCTTGTTTTAAAGTACAAGTATTTCACTACACCACAGCTGTAAGAAGCTTTCAAGACCACAAGTCAGATGGAATCTAAGCACTAAAAAGTGTTAATTAGGAAAATGAAGGTTGGAAGGAGCCCCTACTTTAAAGTAGGGATGGGACCAGAAGTGTGCTTGCAACAAGGACTCTGCTCTCACCCTTGCCATGCTTTTGCTCTAGTCAGTTGGTGTCTGCGTGCTTAGTGCTGTCTGTGCAAGATGAGAATGCAGATGAGGAGCTGGTGTGAGGGTGGAAGGCTACCTAGACGTGCCTGCTATCCCTGTAGGATACAACTTGATGTGCTGGCCACTTGAGCATTAACTTTTAAATAATTCACTGTAATAAAAATTAAGCGAGCCAGAGATCCTGAACCTGTGCCTCTGTCTTTGTTCCTGCATTAGCTTATGTTGAATGCTCTTGCTTCAAAGGACATAATTTCATTAATGTCGCGGCATCACTTGGGGGTCATGGCCAAACAGTGAATATTGCTGCAGGGTAGAGAAGCTTCTCTGGGGAGAAAAAACAGCCCTCCCTGCTGCCAGCTCTCTTGCCTATTGTGAGTGTTGATGGCAAGTGCTTTTCACAGGGCATTTGCTACTGAAAGTTAGAAGTGTGTGTGATGTCATCTGGTATAACATAGGTTTGAAGACTTTCTGGCTGCAAAGAAAACTCAGCATTTTTGTGGTCTATCTATTTTCTAATTTGAAATATATATATATTTTTTGTTAGCCTTATTTTATTGTAGCTATTAAATATTATTAACTAAAAGAATTTGGAAAGGTTGAAGTGTTTCAGAACAGAAATCTGATGCATCTTCCTCTGACCAAGGCTATTGATAAGTGCTGAGGGAATGATACTACATTTGCCCATCATCCACAGTTTCTGTATCTTAACAGCAGCTTAATATGTGAAAACATTTTAAAGTTAAATGACTTAGGAAACTTAAAAAAAAAAAAAAAAAAAAAAAAAAAAAGGAAAGAAGAGAAGCAAAGCAATAGTGACAAGCTACATCTGATTACTGTTAAAAGAAAGCAATGTAAATGTAATTACTGGGTTGGAAGTAATAGCAGGAGATGTTACAGTTAAAGATAAAACTTTGTTGCAGAAACTTTACCTACACATGTTCTGTTTTGTAAGAAATATTGATTTGGAGCCTAAGTTCTTGCCACATAGCTGCCATACAGTAGACTATAACAAAATAAAGATCAAATAAGCCTTCTGAACTGTTCCAGTAAGGAAAGTGAGACACAGTAATGATTTCTTTAAAAACAGCACAGAGCTGGTGGAAGAAGCATGTTTCCCTCAGTGTCTGACACCCACATACAGGGTGCCTTCTGAAAAACAGCTTTGATTGCAGACGCCCTTCTCCCTAAGTCCCTGTCTTCATTTCTCTGTGGAAACTGTGTCCTAGACTGGTTCTTTCTGCATTCTTTCCTCACATATCCCATCTGTTCGTGTACAAATGCCCTTCCTGCTGCTCTTCCTGCTCCCATTGTGTCACCTTGCCGTAGTCCAAACCCAGACCTGCTCCACTGACAAGACAGGAGGCGATCCCTGTGCAAAACCAGTGAGGATGCCTATGGGCCAATTGGATTGCCTGGCTGCAGATACACAGTAGCACTTCAGATGGCATTAGGGCCAGCTGCCTTCCTCCTATGGTTGTCTCAGATAATTCTCTCCTGACTAATACCAGGAAAACCTTTTTTAAACAGAAAGGGAGGTTGGCTAGAAGTCGTCAAGAGCAACTGTGCTTTTCTTTTGCGGTTAATGACTGATTACTGGTCAAAGGTAATGACAGATCTAAGGATGGTTATTGCTTTTACAGAATGTACATATTACAGTTCTGAGTTTCCTGTACACTTTCTATTGATGCAGATTAGGCTAACAGCAGTTTTTAAACCTGTGTTTCCATTGGACAGCAATTGAAATCGATAGTCTTTAAGGACTGCAGGATACAGAGTGAAATTTGCTCTTGAATTTCACAACTTGGAGAAATATTAACCACATACAGCAGGGGAAGTGCTGCCAACCTGCACAGAGATTTAAAGTTGCTACAACCTAAATTGAGGAATTCATAGCTGAAATGAATAGGAAAAGCTGCCTGGACTTCAGCGTGGGGAAAATTTCGCTGCTGTGTGGAACTGGATTTTGGTATTTCCATGGTTTCAGATAGATGTGCTCCCATAAATGAGTTTCGCACGGTGTCAATAGCCCTAGCTTTCCATACACAATTTTTAACTCAAGTAATAGCTTTCTGGTTCCCTGAATCATGACTAATGTTCCCCCATGACTTGTTGCTTGGCATGGAAATTATTAAATGTTCTTCCAGTGGCTGCCCCCAGTGGCCAGGAGTGGAGTCCTTCAGAAACCCGGATGTCCTTTGGCTACCAGTAGATACTTCTGGTTGTCTCAGACACCACTCATCCATGCCAGCCATGAATCTTCTGCCACTCACAGCCTTGTCCTTTTGTTCACATACAGCAGAGCCCTGCAATGCTGTCTCTGTCTGAACTTATTTTTCTGCTGTTTAGATGGTCAGAACCGAGCAGGCTGGAACTGCTGAAACTACTGCCTTAAGCAACATAGGCACTAACTTAAAGTCATTGCTTAGCTGTTCCAAAATATTGTTTGCTCTGTCCAAACATGAAGTCCAAACTTGAAAACTCAGTCTGAGTGCTCTGAAGTCCCTTCATCAGTTACAGAAGCAGCCATACCTTTGGCTGTGATAAATGCTTCGTATGACTTGTAAACACCTGCTTGTTGAAGAATATTGCTTGAAGAACATTACTTCTTTCCAGCCCGGTGCTGGCTGTCAGTCCGTGGTCAACCTGTTGTCTCTTACTAAAGCCCTGTGGGTCTAACACTGCACTAGCTGTCATCCTTTGGAAGTGCAGGGAGGTTGGCTCCTGTTTCTTGAACCTAAAACTATGGTTTCTGTCTCTTAATTCTGTGTCAGCCCTTCAAACTGTATCCATGTACTTTGCACATTTTCCCAAGAAAAGCAAGACTATGTTCTCATCTTTAAAACACCTCTCTGCTATGATGCTTGCGAAAAACCCCAACCAGTAGTGCTGCTTAGCATGCTGTTTTATTCTGGGAGCATCCTAATCTGTGTGGTTCTGCACTTTGACATCAAAAATGTCTCCAGCAATCCTATGCACTGTGCTGTTGTTCTGATGTGTCTAGAATACGGGAGGCTGTCTGCCATGTGTACAGTAACACAGCTAGCAGGAGCAGAGAGTCATGCTCATTACATCTCTGCAGGAGTTTTCAGTACATGCCAAGAACTCAGTGCTGCTCTTTGTTTCACTTAGCTTTTCTGAAACCTTTTGCACCTCCTATCTCTTCATTTACAGATTCTCCTCCATATAGGCTTCCCTCTTCAAGCCGTGAACCTTGTGCACCGCTGCCTTTTCCTTATGCCCTACGTTTCCTTCCTTCCTGACTCCAACCTTCCAGTGCTGATGAGTCAGTCAGTCCTGGTGGGCATGCTCTGCCACCTGGCCTGGCAGCGGTTGGAGAGATGCTTGAACCTATGCTAAACATATACTTGCTTTTCCCTTTGGTTTCCTGCTGTTTTCCCCTCCCCTCCCCTTTTTAAGGCTATATTGATGCCAGACTGCTGCTTAAACTGTTCCCAGCTCAAAGCGATTTTTGGAATTGTTTAGATAGCACTAAATTCGGCTTTCAGACTTAAGAAATGCAGCATGATTGACCTCATAAGATCAGCCAATAAATACAAGAAAATGTCTCCTAATTAATTAGCTTACTAACCATGATTAAACAGCCATATGGCTCATCTCCCTTTGATTCATCTGCGTTCCTGCCATACTTCTGTCTTTTGGATCCAGAGTTCCTCTCCTGTAAGAATCCTCACTCTCTTTCTGTTCCTTCTTTCTGTGTTTTCCTGTCCATATGACTCCTGTTTACATTAACAACAGCACAGGGAACATGCACAGAGCTTTTCACTTAATGAAAGCAGAATGACAGCAGCCATCAACTCTTCTGCATAATGAAGAGATGTGTGCGTGTTTGTGGATCTGAACATTGGTTCATGTAACATAGTTGGTACTGAAGGAGATGAAGGTCACCTGGTGAAGTCGTAGCAATAGAGATAAAGGTCAAGAGCTGCTGGACTTTGGATGCATTCAGCATGTTGAACAGTGCTTAACAGCAAGCAGGTTTGAGATGAGATGAAAGACTCCTGATTCAGTTCTTCATGAGAATACTCTGTTGCTGCAGTGGGGGCAGAATGTAATAGTGATTAAGGAGGGGGTGGGAAGACGAAGCGAAGGAAAGAGAGGAATCTTTTTGTCTTTAAATTTCTGAAGCAGGCAAATTTATTGATAGAGTCTGGGTAAGAAACCATGCCACCCTTCCTTTTAAGCCTTTAAAAGGTTTCTGTCTATAGCTGCTAGTATGGGGAACAGAACAAGTTTCACTTTTTGGTCTCTATTTGTGTTATGCCATTGCCCTTGGCAACTGGTTGAGTAAGGGGAGGGTTCCTCCTATGAGAGGGGAAAGCTAAAAGCTTGTTTTAAAAATATAGTGCTTGGGAGACTACCCTGGCATCATGGAAATTGAGCGTTGTGTTTATCCATGAAATAAATGTGGTGGGGACAGATGTGGTTCAAATGCCTTCATTCTGTTACCCTGCTGATGAACCTCAGCCCAGACTGAGAGTGAACAGGATGACCTTCAAATTTACTTACCTCAGCTAAGCTTTTTCATTTGAATTTTGGAATGGGCTTTGTGTTTTTGTGATATGAATAACTTCAGGGCACTGGCTTTCAACCTTTTGATTTTTAAACCCCAGCTGTTTCTCAGTGGTTGGGCAGACCCTGTCAGAAGTGTCACACATCTGCATTGCTGTATTGCATATTTTAATTATTTTTTCAAGGATCATGAACACTTTTAAGTTGGTCTGTGGCTCTTGGTCTGGAAATGACAATTTATTTCCAGATAACCTTAAAAACAGTACTGGGATTATTTTATGTTTTGGGGCTGCTGAGAATTTTTTGAAAGTAAGTGAAACTATTGCTTGTCTACATTCAAAATGATGAATTTCCACCCCCTCAATAAAATTAAAGAGCTCACCTTGGATTAAAAAAAAAATAAATTACATTAGTTTTCTTTATAGAATTATGAAGCCAAGCTGTCATAATTTTTTTCTCTGCAGTCACGAAGGCTGTAAAAATAATACAGTGGAGTCACATAATGACTTGGTTCTAGGAGCTGAAATTTCAGCATGACAATCATTAGAGCACTGCCAACACCGTTTTGAGCAGCCAGCGCAGTGCTGGCTTGAATCAGGTTTCAATCAATAAACCAGAGGTGAAAGGCTCTGCTGCTCATCCTGTCTGAAAACTCACTTTTCTTTGTTTACCATTCAAAGCAGCAGCTAGAATTTCTTCAAAACACACGAAGGTTAAGTGTCAAAACAACGGGCAAGTCCACTCTGTGCCGTATAGCTGCAACTGTGCTTTTGTGAACAAATTCTTAAGTGCGTGTTGCCATTGAAATAGCATTGATTTGGTTTTGGACTTGAACAGTCAGCAAAGGGCTCTTCAACCCTTTACTGCCCGTGAGGAGCCTGGCAAACAGACCTGGCAAAGCTCAGCTAAGCTTCGTTTTGTCACAAGTGGTTTTTCTCTGGATGTTGCTTAGTCATGGAACATTCTGCTGCGTGACAGCGTGAGCCAGTAACATCTTTGGTAGTGTACTGGGATGTAGCTAAGTATCAGTAGACTCAGATTATATTTTTAAATGTGATTATCTGTAGTTTAACCTGTCCTGTCAGTTGTGATGGATCTGCCATTAATTTCTCCCTTTTTCCCCCTTTTTTTGCCAACGTTAAGTGGCTAAAAGCCAAGGTAAGAAGTGTTATTTCTCCTTTGCCCCACAGTGCCTCATGTGACTGATAGTAGAGGCTGCAGAGCCATTAAAACTGAAAACTAGCGCGCTCTTACGCTCTCCTCTGCTTTCCATAGGATATTTAGATTAAACATGCTGTACTTGAATGTTTTGTTGTTTTCAGCGTTTAGCCTGTCAATATATCTGCGATACATTGACATCTGCATTTACACATAGACGATTAATTTCTCTAACACATGTAGTGCTTCGCTCTGAATTCAGTAGATGCCTCAATTCCCTTCACTTACATTTTTTTTGCAGGAGACTTCCCAGACAATCTGAATGACTCTGCTAGTCAAATAGCAGGGCCGAGCTGAGCCATCCTGGGCCTGCGCTGACTGTATTGTACTGTCAGCATTAAAGCTGGGTTGAAATTATTGACACTCCAACTGAGATGAACACAAATGTGGCTTCCCCTTAAAGAAAAGAGAGAAACGAGAGATTTGTGCATGAAACTGTCAATTGCCTAGCTTTCTGATGTCTGTTGTACATTAATAGCAAAAATAACATTAAGCTTGTATTTGAACTCTTTGTATATACTATTGTCTGTCTTGTGTGTAGCTAAAAACTTGCTGTTTGACAGCTGTCTGGGAATTCTCGCTTTGTAGTCTTACACTTTAAAAAAAAGCAAAACCTGTCAATAATAGAGCTGCTCCGTTATAAAAATAAAATCATGTTTTCCCTTATTTCAGCATGGAAATAACCAGCCTGCAAGAACTGGCACCTTGTCAAGAACAAATCCGCCTACACAAAAACCACCAAGTCCTCCCATGTCAGGCCGGGGAACTCTGGGGTAAGAATGAATAGTGCTCAGTCTTGCTTGTTGAAGACACAGCTTTAAATGTGCCAACGTCGATGTTTCTTAAATAGGTGGATAGATAGCAGTTCTGATTGCCTTTAGGAAATAACACAATTAGTTTTGCTGTGTAAACCCTTTCGGCTGCACTGCCTCTGTATTTTCCTGGTGACCTTTTGAAATAACTGCTTTGCATAGGGGTTTATTGTAGATATGGATAAAGTAGAAGTTACTGTTATTCCTGAATTTTGGGTAGAAGTCCTGGGTAATGTGAGAGAATATCAATGAGGTTTTAACCTCAGCAAAGATTTCATTGTTGAAGTTCTTGTCTGCTTGTTTCTCATTACAGAGATAGGAAATGGCTGTTGATAGCATGTTTATTGCATTAACTAAGCAAAATTCATGGCATCATTAACATATTGGCAACACTGATTCTCACTGACTTGCGGATTTTTATTTTTACATTTAAATGAGGAAAGATTTTGCTTTTTCCAAGCCTCCCTGTGACCAGAGTTCCCTACCATATCATCAATTTCTCTACTCTGGACCTGTGGGCAATGAAATCTGCTTATCGCTGTGTGCCAGCAAGTATTTGTTGGTAGGGACCAAAGCATGAATACCTGAACAGCTCAGAGTGAGTGCAGTGTGGCTTTGTCTGCTGAGAAAGCATTTGAAATAAGAACTTTTACCTGTTTGTCACACTTAGGCTTTCCTTTATGCTGTGGGTGACTGAGGCACTTTAAAGCTGGCTGCTGTGGCTGTGTCAGCTTCAGCATGTTTTCTCAGAGAGCTGGGCAGCTGGAGAAATGAGAAGTAATGAGACAGAACTGGAGAAACGGCCAAGGAAAATTAGGAGCAGCAACTGCTTTTGTCAAAGACTTAGTGATTTTTAATCCTGATTTGCTACTTTGCTGCTTCAGGATGGCAGTGTTTATTGTGTATTCCACAGAAACATTACCCTAGGGGGTTCCTCAGCATGTTTTCTGAAAATTCCCATTGCTCAAGGGCACAAAATCAGCATTCCAATTGTCTCTCTTATCCCAGCTGAGAGAGCGTTGTTGTTGTTGATCAGCCCGGGAAGCTGAGTAGGATTTTACATCCTCCTGGCTGCCCCCAGTGTGGCAGCAGTGCTGATGGACTGCTGAGCAGTCTCTCATACTCCCATTGCCTCAGCTGATGCCTGACAAGGATTAATCAGCCAATGTCATTTCCAGATGAGCATGAAAAAAAGCAGCAGTTGACTGAGGAGAAGGAATAATGTGGCTTCCTAACACAGATTTCTATCTGCCCTTCTTGTTCAGGAAGTACAGCTCTTGTCTCGAGCAGCCATGTTCTGCCACAGCATGAAATATCATAGGCATGACTGTTTTCCCTAATATATGCAGAAAAAAATGCTGGAAACCACAGGGATGCTGCTCTTCTCCCTTTCATCCAGAAAACAGAGATAAACATGTAAATCAGAGTGAGCTTGATGTCTAACATGAGCCCTGAAGTAGGTGTACAGCTTATCCCTCCAAGGCAAGGGCAGGGTGATCCAAAGTGATGCTAGGAAAGAGTCTTGCTCAGGAACTGCCTGAGCTGTGAAATGAATGAACAGCAGGTACAGGGGCTTTTTGGGGGGCTGCTCAGGCTGGGAGCAGAGAAGAAAGCAAGTGAAAGGCTGGAGCTGGAGAAGCTGATTGGAGGGAGCAGCTGCACCAAGAGGGACGTGGAGCAAAGCATGGCCTTAGGCTACCTTTGGCTCCCCTGTGGCAGTAGGCACTGGGTGTTGGCACTGCTGTGTCAGAGGACTGCTCTCCTCTGCTGTGCAAGACTGGCAGAAAAACAGAGGGATGGGTTGGACCTGCATGGCACAAAGAAATTATTCTTTACTTCTCTGTGCATGGGAGTTTCAGTCCTTCAATGAAGCAGAGAACAAGGAGAAACCAGGATCCAACTGAGCCTGAGGATGTAGCAGGGTTTGCTTTTGATAGGATATTGAAATTGGATGGGCAAAATGAATAGTGCTATCAAGCCAAGAGGCTGCATTTCTTATTGCCAGTGCATTCCAAGATAGAATACTTCAAAATGTTAGTTTTCAAGGTTATTTCTGTTGGAAGCATATTTTAAATCTTCTGTGCTTATTATTTCACTTGGCAATATTTAGAGCTCTATCTCTTACAACTGGAATAGAGTCACTTTATTTTTCCCATGACTGATCTCTTTTGGCAGGTCTACAGGTGGTGGCAGTCTGCACATCAGAGTCATCTGCAGGTCTTTATATAGACAAACTAATTTACAAACACCATCATTCATACAAACAAACATGATAATTCCATTTTTCTCCTCAAGAGAGTTTTTAATAGTTCAATTGCATTCTACATTGTAGAAAGGAAGTAGATACATTTCTTAAAATACTGTGAAACCATATAGCTTAACAGGCTGGTTATAACCAGCAATGGAACAAGTGATTAAATGCCAGTAGTTTGCTATTTTTGTTTTTGCTTAGCTGGTGTGTTGCCAAGTTCCGTGTCTTGCAAGGGATCTCTTGGTAACTGGTGAGAACTGAAGAGCTCTGCAGCTCAGTACAATACACACACTGTTCTGAAGGCAGAAACGGGGTGGGTAAATAGATCTCGAAAGATCCATGCTGCATTTCTGAGTTGATGCAGTCTGCTTAGTGACCTTGGAAGTCTCTGAGCTTCACTTTCTGTGTCTGTAGAATGCAGACAATGAAGCTGGTCTCTGAAGTGCTTAAAGATCTGCTTAAGTGATATGCTTGATTACAGCATGAAACAGCGCTGCTAGGAAGAGCACTGATGATTGCAAACGTAACTTGTTCTGTGAATAGTTTGGACTTACTCCTGTCTTAATGAGTTGAATACCTTCAGCCAAGAATGCTTTTAGGATGGTTAAGCATTTGGAGGGGAGAGGGAGAAAGAAGGCATTGTTAAAAGGGAAAGAATTGCTCACGTGCAGTGTATTAAAAGATAACCCTGGGATATGGCACAGGTGTAACTGCTGTATGGTATGTAGTTCAAAGCATATATTTTTGGTGATGTATTTAGCTTAGGCTTTTTTAATCGGTTTGTGCTCTAGGCCAACTTGTGTGGATCTTTCTACGTAAGAGCACTTTAGAGAGTTGAAGGTGATTTCACCACCTCTCGCTGGTGAAATTTGTTTAATATACTCTAATGTGGATCACTGTGGTCTCATGTGAAAATGTAAAAAAACAAGTGGCTTCACGACTCCATGCAGTTATCCTTTTGATGTACTGATTGTTTATCTTTCTGTCTTCAAATCTTTCTCTCTTGACCAGACGAAATACTCCTTACAAAACCCTGGAGCCAGTCAAACCGCCAACAGTCCCTAATGATTACATGACCAGTCCTGCCAGACTGGGCAGCCAGCACAGCCCGGGGAGGACAGCTTCCTTGAACCAGAGACCAAGAACACACAGGTAGAACATTTTTTCTCACTCACACTCCTTCCTGCCTGGCACGCTGCTGTTTACTGAAAGTCACAGAAAAGCTTTGAAGCTTAGTGCTCTTGGCAGCACGGACTTCATTTTCTGCGGTACTTTTTTCCCGAAAATAAGCAGAACTTCAAAATTTATGCAGTTGAGAAGTCAAGCAGTGATGGGTCCTGGGTACTGGGTTAAAAGCTGCCTAGCTAACCTTAGTCTAAAATGTAGTTACCCTTTATAGAATAGTTTTTTTGTTGTTGTTTTCAAGTCCAGTAGTTGCAAAGGGGAATTTCTCTTGATTAAAAACACTATGATGAAAGTAGTCTGAAAAGCCAATTGCTTTCTTTTGGCTAAAACTTAATGCTTGTAATCAGTGCTTGCATGATAGAAGTGGAATGTAAAGCTTACTCACAAAGCAGGTATTGGCAGTACCCAATTGTTTCCACACAATCAAGGATTTTTATGAAAGAATGGTGTGTCCTGAGGTGAGAAAGGTATGGTAGTGTACTTTGTTCTCTTTTTTTATCATGTAAATTTATTCTCAAATTCCAGGGATAGATTTTTCTTTGTGCCTCATGAGTGAGTTTAGTTTCCTCAGTTTGACAGTATCAGAACTTCCGAACTGCAGGAAAAAAAAAACAGACAAAAGAGTTCATCTAAAAATAAAACGGTAGTTTATTTTTCAGAGAGCTTCTGCCTTAATTTTTTTAACACCCTGTAGACAATTAAACACAGTTGGTCACTAATTAGGGATTGAAGGTATTTTGGACACGATGTTCATGAAATACTGTCAGAATTAAATAGTGTCTAAATCTGGATGCAGTGAAGATCTTGTTAACGTGTTTAGCTGGCTCCTGTAAACGCTCCCTACACTTGTCTCACAAGATCTGTATTTTGTGTAGACTACAGTTAGAAAGTCAGCTGCAACCATGGTGACGAGATCAAGGTCTTCAGCAGACAGAACACTAATTTTGAAGGAATTATCTTTGCTTCCATTTCAGATCACTGATTCTCTTTTTGTAACAGTATTATTTTCTTAAGAAATGTTTGAATGATTTGTAGCTACCCAGGATTGGTAAAGAAACTGTAAAATCACTGGGTACTTAATCATTAACGTGAATGGCTGAAAGTGGTGTGTTTTGGCTTCAAGGCATCTTGACTGCTTAGTTCCCTTTATATCATCCATTTAATCTGTGTAAATTCAAGCCTTGGCCTAAGGAATGTTCTCGAGTAAGAATAAGGACAGATGTAGTCTGAACTTTAATTCCTTTTTTCATCTCTGGGTGGAAAGAGATGTTTTGGTCTCTGCAGTAGATCACTAAAAGCATGTTCTGTAAAAATCTCTATTGCTGGCCTAGGACATGAACAGTACTGAGACAAATTGCCACCTGGTTGTACTGTTATCTTATAGACTATCTTAGAAACAAACTTCTCATACACAAATTGTGTGCTTGTGTGTGTGAAAAGGTGCACTGGCTATGCAGATAGTTATTCCTTCCCTTCCCCTACCCAGCTTGGATAATCACAGCTTTTCTCAGTGAAAGACTTTTTATTCTAAGCCTCTGTTCGAAGTAGAGGAAAGGTTCCTTCAGCTGATAGGATAATTAATTTTGAATAATTATTTGTAGTTTAGGCATGAACTCTTCCAGCCCCCATTATTGCTTCTAATTAATACAAGGCTCTTGAACCGTTCCTGCAGTTGTTACTCCGTTGCCTAGAATTGGTATGGTTGCTTACCTTTTTATTTTTGAAGTCATGTAATTAGACATTTTATGCATAGTGATGTTCATCAGCTTAGCTAATTCCATTTATTAGGGATGTAATGCTTCCCACATAGTTGATTAGCTATATGAGATTGTAGGTAGAGACAAGGGCTTTTTGTAGTGGATTTTTTGACTGTCTGCTGTTAGACCAGCAGAGTTCACACAAGAAACATGGCTGTTGATAGGCTTTTGTAGGAAATGTGTGCTAATACTTGTTTTTCTGTTTTTCTCTTATAGTGGCAGTAGTGGAGGGAGCGGCAGTCGAGAGAACAGCGGCAGCAGCAGTATTGGCATTCCCATTGCCGTGCCTACACCTTCGCCGCCAACCATTGGGCCAGGTAGGAGGGACTCTTCCCATGTTAACTTAAGGCTTTAATATCAGTCACTTGTGTTTGTACAAGTGAATAGAAGTTTTTACCTCAAATAAAATACAAAAGATGACCTACAGAATATTGCCAGTAGTAGAATTCAGACTTGTCAACTAGTGTCATTTATTCTGGTACAGTCTGAAGTTGCTAAACTGTGAGAGAGACCACTGACAGAAGCAGGAGAACGTGTGTGTAGCACAGCAGTGAAAGAGAGCAATGCAGGTTTTCTCAGTGTGTACATCTGTTGAATTTGTTCCTTGGTTCACTTTCTTACACATGTGTAGGCTTTCCTTTCTATTTCCTGGTGTTTCTGATCCTGCACTGGGCCGAATAGGCATACATCTTACTATCACCTGTCATCCCATTGAAATAAATGGGAATAATGACCTGCAGGTACAGAACCCTTTGTAGGATCAGGGTCTGAGCTTGTATCAGACTAAAGTTAAATTTTTGTATTTATTTGGGAAGCCTATGAAGTGCCCTTGCTTTCTTACCTGCTTTTTAAATATGTGGCCTAATTGGGAATATAAACTATTTTATTAGCACACATTTCTGTTCCTCCTCCTCCTGGAGCCCCGCCAGCACCACCACTGCCACCACCTCTCCCGATGGGCAGTCTGATAGGTGAGACTTGTGTCAATGCTGAAGTGATTGCAGTCACGCTGCATAATCAATAATCATCTCTTCCTAATGGACTTAGTGAAGCTGTTTTTTTTTCATCTGTACTGGGGTCTACATGATTTTAACATAAAAATCGGTTCTGATGTGATTTTTTTTTTTTTAAACAAATCTAATCTCTGCTAACTTCCTGTGGTTAAAGCCTCTGAAGGTAAATGTACAAGGTATGGGGAAAAGCTGCTAGTTGCTTGAAATCTCCATTCCCAGTAAAGCTAAGGTTCAATCTGTTTGATCTGAAGGAGCTCAAAATCAGCTGGAACATTACCATTCTGCTGTATCACTCTTGCAGTTGAAACTAAGCTGCTACGGTTGCATTCTCACTTAAAAATGGTAGCTGATGTGTAGGGTGATGTACGTATTCTATCCTGAGGGAAAAGGTGACTGAAAAGCAGAAGTGTCTGTCACGGTGGCTTGGGTTTGATCCTGTAATGCTGCAGGCAGATGCCAAACTGAAAGACTTTATGATACAAGCCAACAGTTCTTGAAAAAATGCTTCGAACATTACATGTTGCTGTTAGGAAAGGATTTAAAAGTAGTAAGTGTAAAACTACACAGACCTCTCCCTTTCCTATCAGAAACAGATGTCAAAATTCATAGATCTTGTTATGAAACCAGCTTTGGAGGCTTTGACCCATGTAACCCTTTGCACTTTCTCTTACTGAAGTGTTAAGTGAAAGTGACTTTGGATGGCACTACAGGACTGCAAACTACTGACCGCACACTGTGCCATGCGTGTGCGTTTTGTATATATTTTTATCTGTCTGTATAAGATATATACGTATGTATTTAAAAGCACAGAACATTTTATTGCAAAACAGTTTTTGCATTCAAAAACTGCAGAGTTGTGCGTTGATCCATGTGACCTCAATGTTTGAGATTCATTAGTTTGCAAGGCTTGATGCTTTCATTTATCTCTCAGAGGTGAAAGCAAAAAGAGAACTTAAATTGTTTTATTAATCTTGGCTTTTGTGCAGCGAGCATGGGGAAGGTAAAAATGGGTATCCATCTTGAAGAATGAGTGACATGTCTTTCTGACAGCCGGCACTGGTGATTCTGGTCTATTAGTGGTGCAAATTCCATGAATATAAAAGCACATCTAGCAAATATGATTGGTGAATGTGCCAAGCATCTGAAGCTCGTGACATTTATTTTACTATTTTATTAGAGCATTTTTTATTATTTGACGGGAGACAAATTCTGGTTCACAATGGAGAACATTTGCTTTGAGCAGAATGTGTGATTTTTTGTGTGCGCTTTTCAATAAAGGGTATTGCATGTAGAATTCTTGAGATATGCTTAGGAGCTGGAAGCTGATCCAAGTTTCCAGCCCCATCAGACTGTCAAAGTAGTTACCAGCATTTCTCAAATGCCCTTTATATGAATGTTCTTTTATGTCCTGTTTTCTCGTTACTGATTATAACAGGGATGTTTGTCTTCTGTTAATCTCCTGTTACTGTCTTAATTTACTGGTGATGTGTGGTCAAATAATTCCCAGGTTCTGGGCTTTTTCTGTTTTCTGCATTCTGTCCCAAGTAATGCTCTGCTCAAGTCTTTTCCTTGGTTCCTCTGGCTAATGCTTTTCAGCTGCTCCAGGTTCAGCTCCTGGTTCCCAGTATGGCACAATGACCAGGCAAATCTCGCGACACAACTCTACCACTTCTTCAGCATCTTCTGGTGGATACAGACGGAATCCTTCTGTGACTGCCCCATTTTCTGCTCAACCTCATGTTAATGGCGGGCCTCTTTATTCTCAAAATTCAAGTAAGCTTCTGAGCTCTGAAATCAAAAACTGTTTTGAGCAAAATGATTGTAAAAGCATGCATGGCATTTTAATTCATTTGTGAAGAGCATCAATAAGATTATTGCTTTCTTTCCTGAAATAGAAAGAAAAACAAATAAGAAAAACTCTGAGTTGTACAGAGATTGTACTGTATGCAATTTCACTGTTTTTCCCCTCTGAGTTGTTTGCTGTTACTCACAACGAGAAATTATGATGATTGCCTGTCTAATTATGGGCACATTATACTTAGCATTTCAGGTGTGCTTGGAGAACATAAACTAAAACCAGATTTTTTGCAGGAGACCTAATGTGGTTGTAGCACACTTCCTCCACTACTGGACCAGTGGCGAGAGGGTGCTATCGGAGCACAATGCTCATAAAACAAGCTTTTCCCATTACTCAGTATCTCCCTGTCTCTGTCTTGTTCTCAAATCCTATTTCTGTCTCCAAATTTCTCCTTTGTTCTTCACTTTAAACTTGACTGTTGGAGCAGGGACGAAGAGTTCAGTCTCTTTTCTTTTTAACAAATTGCTCCTCTATGCTTCTACACCAATAGTGGAGGTGGAAATGAGTGAGCAGTGGGGTGCCCCATCCCTAGAGGCATTCAAGGCCAGGCTGGATGTGGCTCTGGGCAGCCTGGTCTGGTGGGTGGCAACCCTGTATGTAGCAGGGGGGTTGAATCTAGATGATCATTGTGGTCCTTTTCAACCCAGCCCAGCTCTGTGATTCTGTGATTCTATGCAGTGGGCAGCTGAGCCTGGTTTTAGTCAGCAGGGTTCTGCCTAACCACAGAACACGGCAAGCAAGGTTGACTGCAGAAAGTTCTGCAAAAGAGGGATCTACTAGAATCTTGGTGGAAAGCTGTGTTTAGATCAGGGACTTTTTCCTTACTCCTTTCAGTCCAAAATTATCCTTACTGAAATTCTTCCTTACTGGAAACAACAAGGATCATTTTTACCAGATATACGTAGAGGAGTGACTGTACTCACGTGGCTTTTAGTGCTGTGCCGACTCTAAACTACAGAGTGATATTCCTATAAAAAGAAATGTTGATGTTTGAGCTGAAGATCTCTACGGACCAGTGCTGCCTGGTAGTATACTTATTCTTAAGGAAAGAACACATAGACAGTATTTGAGACACAGGGTGAAACATTTTCTCAGTGGTTTACAAGTACAACATTAGTCCAACAATGTCTTTCTATGCAGGCACAGTACTTATCTACTTTTTTTTTTCTTCCCCATTCCTAATTTTCAGACTGACTCTTCATTTTCTTCCACACTCTGCTCCCCAAAATTAATTGTCCATAATAACAGAAACCCCCTCCTGCTCAAACAGTTGTGTTCTGATGAATAAACAGGACTTCTGGAAATAGTTAGTCACCTTGAATGCTCTGCACACCACTATTTCTGAACATTTGGAGTTTTCCAAGGCAATTTTTTGCTCAAATGCAGGTGCTGTTCCCCAGTCCGGCATCTTTGGTGTTTTCAAAATACTGATTGTCAAAATTTTTTTGAACAGTATTTTGATGATGGGTGCGTTTTTTCTACCTTAAACTGTTTTTTTTCTCTGTTTCTGAAACTGGTGATTTTTTTTTAATGCTACTGTCTTGACGTTAAATCTAGGTTCCACGTTTCCTTAAGGTTTTACTTCTCATGCTAACAAATATTCTGTTTTTTTTCTTAGATGTTTACTTCAATTTTGTGAGAAACCTGTTTGTTGTCCCTCTTTTATTGGTTGTTTCCTTCATTCAGTTGATTTGATTATTGGTTTTGTAATGAACTAAATGCTTCGTTTTTATTCATCAAACATTAATCTTAGTCATGGCTTTATTTAAAACTGTTGCTTACTTGGAAGTACAGAACCTCTTTCAAATTTGATTCCAACTGGATTATGCTGCTGAATTCCCATCTTCACAGGAATTCTCTGTTTTGATGCAAGAGAAATTCACCTGAGAAGAGGCACAGTGTAAACAAATGAGCTGATGTTCTGTTGTTCTTTTCTTTTTTGTTTGCTTTTTTCTCCCTCCTCCCCACCTTCACTGCTGTCCCACCAGCACTGGTACTTTATGTGGCACGTCCTCTCTGTTGTGTGCAGAGGGGAAAGCTGAACACCTCAGCTGTCAACCTGGTGGGGCTGAGCGCTGGTTCAATGTTTCCTGTCTCATGTCTCACTGAGCAGGGCCGTGCTTCAGGGGAAATGAGAAGCCTTTGCCACTTAACAACTTCACAGTTCTTAAGTTGCAGAGTGCCTCTAACCACAGAGGGCTTAATAACTTGAAATAAAACACCGTTCCACTCAAAACTTACCTATTTTCTTTCCAATAAGCAACAAGTTCCTTTTTATATGCAGAACAACAATGCTGTGAGCTGTCCCTTGTCCCCATCCCCAGCAAAATTACAGGAGGTGCTCTGTACGAGTACTGACATCACAGCATTGTTTCCTTTGTAAAGTTGCTGTCTTTACTCTGTGTCAGTGCTGTTTTGCTGCATTTGATGTAGCTCTCTGCTCTGATGGTAGAGGAGGAGTCCAGAATCCTCCACACCACCGCCTCCTCTTCTGGCAGCACATTTTATACAGAGAGTTCCTGGATCTGAGCAATTGTGAGCACAATGAGAAGCTCAGCACTGCGTGCTGCCTGTGCACCCGCACTCACCCCGGGAGCTCCCTGCTGTGGGCTGCACTCTGCTTTGTGCTCAGATGGATGCGGGCAGGTTTTGCTTTTTGGGCCTTGATTGGCTAGCCACGAATTCAGCCTCGTTGGAAACACAAGCTTGAAGAAGGTTCTTCTGTGTGTGTGTTCTTGTTGTTCTTGACATACTTTGTTTTGTGGTCCTCGTTACTGACGGCTGCTTTTGTTTGTTTCCTTTTTTTTTTCCCCTGTGTCTGTTTGACTTTCCCCATCTGGTGTGTGCCTTGCTACCAGTTTCTATTGCTCCACCCCCTCCCCCTATGCCTCAGTTGACTCCACAGATACCTCTCACAGGCTTCGTGGCCAGGGTGCAGGAAAACAGTAAGTTTGGACAAGCTGAGCTATTAAAGGGTAGAGCCTCCTTCCTTCTAGCATGCATGGCTGGCAAGTCAGACTCTCTTTTGTTTCCTTTTCCAGAAGCTAATACCATCTTGCGTTGTAGTGTCAATATGCTATTGGAGCTGAAGGGCACACTCGTCAATATTTTATAACACGTGCATGATTATTACTGACCCATTTAAGTTCCAAACTACAAATTTATTAGAGAAATACAGTGTGAAATATGTGGCATCTGCTTCATCTGATTGTAGAAGTGTATCTTAATTAAAATATTAATTTCATGTTGAATCATCCTGCCCGAGGCTTTTTCAGTAGGGATAATTGATTAGTTTTTATTAGAAGGCTTATGCGGACTGTCAAAATATGTACTGTGCAGTCATTGACTCCAGTACTGCGATAGTTTTTGGTGAGCCATAAAGGCAATTGAAAATGTGCACTCTTATGATCTAATGCCATTACAAAGGAGCTCCTGAGGTATTTCTCCTCTCTCCCGCCTTTCATTCTCCGTTGCTTTGTGTCCTGTAGCCAGATTTCCCTACTGAGCTGCTTACGGCATAGCTCTGTGGATAGATTTGTGAGAGATGCTCCCTGGCTGTGATCTGTTTTCCACTGCTATCTCTGCTTTTACCATTATTGCTTGATTCGTTTCAGGTGAGTGTTCCTATCCCTAATGCTAGTGCAGGGGTAAAGTCTTGCTCCTGCTGTGAGTTCATCTTTGTTCCAGGAGAATGTTGTTGTTTTGTAAACAAAAGAAAGAATGCAATGCAGGTAGGGCATGGAATGAGTATAATGCATTCTTAAGGCGTTTGGGAATCATGGTGGAGTCTGCTAGAATCTCAGGGACTGTTACTGTGCAGTGGTGCTCCGGGATATGCTGAGGGGCTCTCAGCACTGATCAGTGCTGCTATGCAGCTTCCCATTTGAGTTTCTTAGTGCTCGTATTGTGAGTGTTTTCCCAGGTGTAAGAAGCATCTCTGTGGTTCCCATTCAGAAAGAAGGTATTTTGCTGTTATGTTAGATGAATGCTAAAGTCGTGTTTATGTAGACTTGCATGCCACAAAATTGACATGCCTTCCCAAAATGCAAAGTGTAGAGGTAGATGTACTGAAGATGAAAGGTACAAAATGTCTTCACTTGCAGATAACCTTGAGAAAATTGACACCTGCTTCTGAATTGTTCCAGGTATGGTGAAAAGGGACAGACTTATTTGTCTGTCACAATGAAAATTAAAGCTGACTTGTGAATGAGATTGCAGCAGAAAATAGGTTGAAATGTGGTCTAGGAATTGTCCTGTTTATTTTCTTGCTTTAATAGTCCCTGAGGTTTGAAAGTTCTCTAATGAGTATGGTTTTGAGCTGCTGCTGCTGCCTTGTTTCAGAGGTGGGAGTGCGTGTGGCAGCTGTGCACACACTCAGCAGAACTGTCTGCAGGGGACCTTCCACTGTCTTGTTTTCTACAGCACAATCACAGGAAGTGGAGTTACAGAGACACGGGTAGGCTTGCCTCTTATGGGAAAAGTCTTTCCTTTTCATAAAGATTATTGGGTTTGGAAAGCATCTTCTGTGCACGCTGTGGACTCCTTTCAGACTTTTTCTAGGGCAGAGGATTAGAAAATGCTCAAGGTCTGTTTTTTTTTCCTGCACCCTGTGCCCAAGCCATGGGTGTCTCCTGCAGAGAGGTTTAGCAGTGTGCCCAGGGACCAGTGACTAGCTGTCAGCTGCTGCACTCTAGCACCCATTCTGCTAAAGATGAGTCTGCAGGGCCCCACTTAATGACAGGGATGTGAACACAAGCTAGAGAAAATGCTTCAGTTTGAAGCTTTGTTAAGTCCGGTCTATGTACTGGACCCTGTGCCCTTCCTCATTTAGAGTGCTTCTGCATGCCATTTTTTCCTCCTAGAAAAATTGATGCTGCTCCTGATTTTGCCTGGCTGAGTTCAGAACCAGGCAATGCGTAGGTTGCAATCCCAGAGGTGGGGACACATCCTGGGGTGACACTTGTCTGATTTTCTGTTCCGTTTTCTCCCCTTGTGTAAATGTGATGTTGAATTGTTTTACACATTTCCCATAAAACACGCACTGTGAGCACAGCATTTTGGTTAGGCTGTGTGTTGGCACTTCCACACTCACATTTCCTGCCCTCTTCTGTTCTTGTCAAATACGCATCTTCACTGTTGAATAAATACAGCCTTTATTAAGGTAAGGATTTCTTAGCATCTCAAAGGATTGTTGTTCAGTACTTTTCTTTTCCTGGCTGTAGCTGGATACTAAGGATAGCAGTATATTTGGTGAAAGATGTGCTGAAAAGAGCACACAAACCCTGTGTATTTATAAATAGTGCTGTCATGTGCCTGTGGTGTAATAACGAAGCCTGCCTGTGAGTGCTGCTCAGTAATGCAGGCAAGACAGAGCACTCAATTGGACAGAGACTTTGTTAGTCTGTCTCCAAATGACATCAGTGGGTTTCTGTATGGAATAGGAATTGTTGACACAGTGGCAGCCGCCCCCTGCCGCAAGGCTATGGGGCATGGAGCTCGGCTAGCCCCACTGTGGGGAGCTGTGATTGAAGTGACAGCAGTGCCTTGGGGGCTGTGGCCTTCCCCCACCACAGCACAGCCTCTCTGGCACAGCTAGAACTTGAGAGCTGTGCTAAGCTGTGTTCCTGTGGACCAAAGGTTAGTCACTGGTTAGTAGTGGCCAGGCAGAAGTGAAGAGCAGTAAAGCAAACAAATCTAACTAGCTTCACTCCGTGCTGTGTTCTTTCCTTGCTTTCCAGCTTGTCTTTCTTAAAAGTAGCAGTGTTCTGGAGCACATGCCCTGCTCTTTCAGTCACACCCTCTCAGAGCAGTGGATTTCAGCCTGTCTGTGTTTCATATGCAGACTCCGAGATTGCTTGTCATTAAATCTGTGTGCTTATACAGCAGTGCTGAGCTCGGTGATGGTTCCTTACAGTAACTCCCGCCCAGGTTTATGTGTAGTGGCCCCAGATCCAGGGAATGAGATGGGTAGCCCTGTGTCTCACATGTGGGATCTGTCTCCCCTCTGTTCTGCCAGCTGCTATGTTATTAAGATCTGTTTGAAAGAGTGATTTGTTCCATAATGCCTTTCTCTTTTCCCTTTCCCAAAGCAACCTGTAATTGTGCTGATTGGAGAGTCTCAGGGCAGGGATTTGACATTTTGGATTACTCACTTAATTCCTTGAGCACTTTTTCCCAAAGAGCAGCAGCCGTCTGTTGTAGTTTTCCATTTGTTAACGGTATCCTGGATGTGTGCATACACACAAGCTAGTGTGCAGGATACTGATCAGTACGAAGCTTTTCTTCTGCAGAAAGATCGCTTGTTTTTTTCCCACTTGGTTAAATTAGAAGCCTAGTCTCTTCCCTTTTTTGTGATCTGTACCAGATCTTTTTGCCCTCTTAGGGCTAGCTCTGAGAGAGGGAATCCAAAGAAGCAGTGTTCACAAACAAATGGAAGTGACTGTACAGGCAAAGGCTTTGTGCAGAACGAATTGTGCTGCTGGCTGGCCACCAGCTGCTGCTGCCCGGCTCAGAGGGTGCTGCTTGCAGTGCTCCCACAGCTTCTGCTGCAGCCAGCCCTTAGCATGGCTAGCGAGCAGGGCTGCCCGCTGCTGATGTTCAGCTTATGACCTGCAGCATGTGCTTTGACTCTAGTAGCATCTCTATGTAGATCTGACCACTAATAACGAACGTAGCTGCGTGTTGTAGCTGTTAATACAAAGCCTCTGTTTCTAATCAGTGCATGGTATTATAGCGCATGCTGTGTGTTGTCATCCCCACCCCTTTTATTTACAGTCTACAGCCTCAGGTTTGTTTATATCTGCACGCTGGTTTTCATGTAAAAAAACTTTCCCAACGTTTCCAGTTGCCGATAGCCCGACTCCTCCCCCCCCGCCGCCCCCTGACGAGATGCCAATGTTCGATGACTCCCCCCCACCTCCACCCCCACCCCCCGTGGACTATGAGGACGAGGAGGCTGCTGTTGTGCAGTACAGCGATCCCTATGCGGATGGAGATCCTGCCTGGGCGCCGAAGAACTACATAGAGAAAGGTAGGAAGGACTGCAACTGTGTACCTGCAGCACCGGGGATTAATGGTATCTGAAGGGGATGAATGACAAAGCTTGGTCTGATGAAAAGTCATTGTCCCTGCTAGCCAGAACTCAAAGTGTTCCGTTCTTGGTTTGTCAGTGGCTACACCTGATGTGATAAAATGTAATCCTTTTAAAGAAGGATTATAAAATATCTTCAAGCATTCTAGAATGGAGGGATAAAAAAAGTATAGTGAAACAGTTATGAGAAGCAGATGTGAATCCGATGGCTTTTCATCTTTGTTGAGCTGCTGGACTGCGTCTGCAGCTACCTCAGGGTTGCTGAGCAGTCATCTAGAAAGTGTGCGGCACAAAGCCCAGAAAGTCCATGCTCTGTCCTGCTCTATCCTATCAAGATGGAAAGCCAGCTAGAGCAGACCGTGAAACATTTTGCTGTGAAATGTAGTGAGAGCGATAGGATGAGGAATGGTTTTAAACTGAAAGGGGAGATTTAGGTTAGATGCTTGGAGGAAATTTTCTTCCTCAGAGGATGGTGAGGTCTGGGCACTGGCTGCCCAGAGAGCTGCCCAGAGAGTGGGTGCCCCATCCCCGGAGGTGTTCAAGGCTGGATTGAATGGGGCCCTGGGCAGCCTGAGCTGTGAATGGGAGCCCTGTGCATTGCAGGGGGTTGGAACTGAATGGGCTTTATGCACCTTCCAATCCAAACCATTCTGTGAGTCTATGAGACATACCAGTGAGTCTGCCTCAGCAGACTGTAACTGTGCTTAGACATAAACTCATATAATAAACATTTCTTCCCAAGAATAACTGATTTCTTGCCCATAGAGCTGTCTGTGTTAGGACAGCGACCAGCTTGTCAACAGCAACGCTGCAAGTTCTCTCAGGCTCTGGCTGGTACTGTCATGAGCATGAAATGTGTCTGTGGTACTGTCTTGGCAGCAGCGGTGGAACTGCTGTGTTCTGTCCTCGCTGCTGGCTGCACTGTATGTAGGGTGCACTCATGGGATGAAAAGAACTGACCTATTCCACCATCATTTGCTAGGCAGTAAGACTCAAGTTTCTAAGATGATACATCATGTAAAATAGTAGATTCTTAAAACCTATAAAATTGACCTATTGCATAAACCCATATTAACTATTTTAAAGGATAAGAGATGTCCAAAGTTAGTATATTGTTGTGTATGTTAAAAATTCCCTCGTTCTTTTTCCTATAGTAACTTTAACACTTGCATTCATTGTAGCCCCTTTAAAAGTAATGTCAAATCTTATTATCATCTAGAAACTATGCAGCAAAAGCAGGAAATGATTCACTTCTGTACAGCTATGTTTACAAGATTGTGCATGATCACAGAATCGTGGAGCAATTCTGTGATGACTATATGGTCATGCACTGCAGTATGCACTGTACAGTTGCAGGGGCTATTGTGTAAGAATTTTTCCTAGTGGTCTTTTTCTACAGTGATTTTTTTTTAGGCTTTCTCTAATCAAGATATGCAGGGATCTGAATGCCTTCGAGGCAGTCTGAGCAGAAATTCACATGTGAATTGTGAATTCACATGTCTGAGCGCCACATTCACAGACCCACCTGGTTCGTAACCCAGCTTTTGGGTGGCCATGTCCACTGTTGCACTGCGCTCCAGCCAGAGGCGCTTGCCCACACCAGAAGGTTTAGGAGCATTCAATGCAGTCACCACCCACTGCTTACAGGCAGTCAGGACTGCAAGAAAAGGCAGATGTCACTTTCTGGACTTGATGTTGAACAGGAAAACTGTGTGAATTCAGTACAGTAAATCAGGATGGCAAACAAGTCTTTCCAAAATATAATGGTACTGAGTGGTGCTATTAGCACGATGCTAACCTTTTCCCTGTTCAATCCACAGTCGTTGCTATATATGACTATACAAAGGACAAAGATGATGAGCTGTCGTTTATGGAGGGTGCAATCATTTATGTGATAAAGAAGAACGATGACGGCTGGTATGAAGGAGTTTGCAATCGAGTAACCGGCTTGTTTCCTGGGAATTATGTTGAATCAATCATGCACTATGCCGATTAAAATCCTTTGCTTTTCAAAGTTGGGTCTTGTACTCGGTCATACCATGATTATTTACGAGGGGTAACTAAAAGCTAACAGAATTGTCTTAATATACTTTCAAAAAAATGTGCCCATTTCTTCAGGCCATACTGTTTTAATGGTATGATTGAATGTCCATCTCTCTGAGTCTCTGGGGGCAGTATGTCTTACCTGATGGCAATCTGTAAAACAAGCAACTGTCTATAACTGGTTATACTTATTTACTTACGCATTGTTAATTTTATGACCAGCCTAAATATTCTGGGGAAGTAGGGTATAATATTTAATGAACCATGATTCAGATTGTGCCATTACATTTTTCAGTACAGCATGGTAACTAACACTACGTTAGACTAACATATTAAAATCTGGATGAGAAGTTTAATGTTAGTGCTGGTCATGTTACTTTTTGTTTAGACTCTTTGCTCATTCTTGAACTATATTTGTTTAAAGCATGCATACAAACTTATGTATTGAAATATACTTTTTTAAAAATCCAAGATGCTTCCAATTGTTGTAATCTTTACCTGGAGTATTCTCACTGAAGTCTATTACAATGAGTTGTTTGGGTCTAAGATGTCCATGTGAATCAAAAAATGGGTGGTCTTATGTATGTGTAATTTGTACCCAAGTTTTTTTAATAAGTAAATTTACATTATGACTTTTTCCATTCATAAATATATAAGTGAACCAAAGGTCTTGTCCATTACTTTGTTGGCTGGTTTGACAAAGAAGTTTGGAATGCTAACGTAGCAAAATCATGGCTGTGTTATCCCAGGCAATGTACTAAAAAGCAAATGTTTGTAACATGACTTTATCACTGACAGAGGGCAAATAAATTAGATATGAAACCTGAATTATCCATTTATACAAACTCTTAAAAGTTCTTTTCTTCCAGTATAAGTTTTAGCAAGAGTTCTTGATTGAGCCTAGTTATCTAGATAGAATGAGTTGACACTGTCTGTAACTGACATTTCTCAGTGGAAACTGTATCTGGACGTGGTAGTGTGCCCAGCTGAGGAAGCTGGGGGCTGTCCTCCAGATCTGACCGGAGGAAACAGTCAGAACAGGACAGGGATTCTTTTTACCTGGGATGGAGCAATGCACTTAGCCATTTGCATCAAAGGGTAACAAGCAGAGATAGCTAGAGGTGATACTTCTGTTCTGCAAATACTGTGGCTTAAATAACCTGAAAAGGAATGCGGTAGTACTGGATAATTACTGTAATAGGAATGTGTCTGTGACTTCAAAGCAGTCTTCTAAGGAGAGGGCATTGGATATTCTGTGTAAATGAATGATGGAAGATGATGGAGTAGAAGCTTTGACTGGCTGTTGAATCATTCATTGTACCGTGGGTTTGAAATACCAAACCTTCTACTTTCCCAACTGCTAGCAAGTACAACCAATGGCATACCTGTATTTCATTATGAATTGGAAACTAGTTACACGTACAACCTATTCAAGTCTACATACAATCTGTTATTATCATCTCTTCCCCTTTATACAATTCCAGATACTTCTGTAATTTAACAGCCAGGAAAGCATTCAAACCACCTATGTTTCCACAGGTGTTCAACAGATAGCAACATGTATGCTGTGTTTATTGTTGTGAACGAATGAAATTTGAGCAACTTCAATTTTCATACACTGATTTATATTTATTTTCATTGTGGCCTTTGTGCATCAACATGTAAACATCTTCCCCTGCCCCACAATTAATAGCCCCCACTAAAACAATTGTACAGCACGATCTGATTTGCTCTGAACCGTATGGCTTCCTACAATAAAACACTTCCATTTTTATTTTTATGGAAAAAAAAAGTAGAGCTCCCCCACCCCCCCCCAGAAAAAAAAAAAACAAACCAGAAGTTTCTTAAAAAAATAATTTTTGGTAGCCTGTGTTGGAAGCAAATAACTTGAAGGAAATGTAGGCACAGTCTGGTAAGTAGCTGCCAGAACGAGTGGAAGGAGTTCTCTCACTTGTCTCGCATGAGTACCATTTCTGTCAGTTGAATGAGGGCTTCTCTTTCAGGGGATGGGCGCAGTTTGCTGATCTCTCTCGTAGCTTCGTGGCAGTAGCGCTGGGCGAGGTAGGTTGTTTGCTGCACACCGTCACTCTTGTGTAGGATAAAAATGAAACACAGTGGATAACCGAGCAGACCCTTCCTGTCTTTTGCCCCTTATTGTTACAGTGGTAGTTTTAAAGGTTTTAAGTCTCCTGAACGCTAAGTTGTATGTTGAAGGAGTGAGGATCCACTGAATCTTCCCCAAAGCTTTGAAACACCAAAACTTATCAGCACTAAACTTAATTGTGCTCATAAAACAACACTTGTATCGGTAACATATTATTCAGTAGGACTAGAAACTAATTGCTTAACTCCTCTCCTGCCCAAAATAGAAGCATAAAAAAGCCCCATGCTGTGCTGACTAGATATGTATTAATTCTGCACAATTATTTACTCTTTTCACATCAGTCAGCTAAAACGGGAGCGAGCACTTCAGTTGCAATCATTAGTTGCTGCTTACATCAGTCATTGGACACAGCAACTCTTCAGCTGAAGGAACTGAGTTAATGCACGAGCTTTTCATTTTTATTAGAGAGATTTGATGCTTTTTGAGGATTAAAAAAAAGCCAACAATCTATTCAACCCAGTAATTCACATTTCTGTTAAAACATTGTGCCAGTACAGCAGCTTGGAGTACCAGCATGGTACCAACACACACCTCACATGCTTCTGAACATCCATTCAAATAATGCAACTCTGCTGTTCTGCTTTAGACACAATGAAATTCAGACTGACTTCAGGGAGGAAATGTCTGACACCGTTCCTACCTGCAACACGTACTTCCGAGCACGTTCGACATCTCCTGGCTTACTGAATCGTCTCATTATCATGGCATTCATTTCTGGAAACTAAGCACAAAGCAAGAAGTTTTGTACTGCTTGTGAGTAGTTCTCCACGCAGCAGCTGGCTGTGCTAAGGTGGAAAAAAAATGAAGTACAGCTGCCATTCCCTACTGTTGCAGTCCCTACAGATTTACTGCAGCACACTCACACAGTTACCTGCTTTCCTTGCACACCCGTGGTTATGAAACCACAGATCTATGCACTCCTTGTTAGGGAACAGGCGTGATATCCCTCACTGTTGTGACACTTCTCTGTTACTCAGAGGCACTCATTGTGGAAGATACATTTAAAAGTTCATTGGTGACTCACAGCCGACTTTCTCTAGATTCCAGCTTTCTTTCCACATAATGACAAGTTAATTGCAGTGTTCACATTATCCATATTTACAATGATATAGGATTCACACGCATTCACTTTTTATACCTGAGCTTCAAAGAATATAAAAATTCCCACCTGAAATGAAAAGCTATTTTTAGCAGTTACACAGATATAAAGAGTAGTTTATGAGCATCTGACAAGACTGGCTGTAATAAAAATAAACCCTCCTTCTTCAGCTGTACCACTTAAAGAGTAACTCGAGAAGTAGTGTACAGCAGTGCATTTCTTAAAAAAAGAAAGAAATAACTTTTCATGGTGTGAACAGGTCTTATGTTGAGCTTGAACGTGTTTGTATTAAGGTCACTCAGTACTGCAGTGCAAAAAACTGCATCTCAGCAGAGGATAGAGGACAAGAAGAAAAGGCCGTCAGTTGAGAGCCGGACAGCGTTCACAGAAGTGTGGTTGTTGGCAAGACAATGCGAGGACTGCCAGATAAATTAAAGGGTGTGCAGGACAGCAGTAACATTCATTCCAAGAGGAGACAGCCTATAAGTAACAATTGCATTTTGGACTGTCTTCAAGTCCTCGCTCACGACTTTTCATTTTCAGATAAAAAGAGATGAAACTGCTTTCACTAGTGGCACAGATAAGCATTTAGCTCCAGATTTCTTTTTAGCACTTATACTTTGTTTATATATCACTTAAGTCTGTAGTGCTGTTCTTTCAGTTTCTTGAAAACAGCAGGAAATGTTCAGCAAGGCCTTCCGCTTAGTGAGGAAATCTTTGCAAGACGATCAAGTTACCTTTCAATGCAAGGACTTACACTTGTCATCTACCAGATACGAGAAGAGTTTAGAAGTGACCTATGACGATCGAGTCAGACTTCAAAATGAAGCGGATAGGTTTTTTTGTATTTCCATATTTTTTATAAAACACAAGTAATCAAATGATAAGTGAGTCTGAAAGAGACAAACGGCAAATCCAAGCAAATTCATAAAATAATAATTTTAACTTAAACATTGCGATAGTCAACACCCAAAAGATGGTCAGTCACCCTTTCTCTGCCAAGTCCTCATCAGTGTCTTTGTACTACATCCTTGCTTCTCCATACAAGTAGATAAAAAACCCCATCACACAACTGCACCCTCTTTCTGTATCTGTCTCTCACTGTCCATTCAGACAACTTGCTGCTAACAAGATCCTGCTGCTCACCAACAAATTCTGCAATAAAATTCAAGAACAAGTCTGCATGCCCCCCAGACACACCTATGGGGAAGAACTGAACACATGGAGGAGGTTGTTCTCAGCGTGCATCAGTCTGCACTCCCAAGCGGTTGATACTCCTCCCTTTCCTGTCTATTCTGAGATGCATGTCCTTGTAAATGCCCAAAGGATGAAGAAACAAACACATGCATACGTTCCAGCCTCCTCCTGGACTCTTTTGTTAAGAAAGAGGGGACAGTAAATGTTAGAAAGCTGTATTTTTAAAATAAATTATTTAAAATTTTTCCCATCTCAAGCTCTGAGCAATTCCACTGAGAGAAAGAACACAGCCCAGAGCTCTGTCTGGAACTAGTTGTGCCACCTAGCATATCATGAAGCTTGGAAGGAAGGACTGCTTTCTAAGTCCCAAATCTTTCCTCAGGCAAAGCAGAAACCTGAGCAAAGTGCATTACACCAGGCTTTCTCCCTTCTATGGATTACTACCAATTTTGATGCTGCTAGTATTTCTGCTTCCTTTTTACTCCTCTAAATCATTCTCATGCCACTAAAAATCCTGACCAATTTTAAACTTACTGTTTTACTCCTTTCACTTATCCAAACTACTTTTACATTTACCTCCAGCAGCACAACTGTAAAGAAGGGAAAGCTTCCCATGTTTTCAACTGTGCTCCAGATTGGATACAAAGCCTAGAACTTGGCAAAAAGGTTACGTAGGCGGCCTGGGGAGAACATGGTGTCTGAGGAAAGAACATAAGCAAGCAGCCAGTGTGCAGAAAATCTCCCGGAATACCTGCACCTTTGCAAAGTCTGGGCATTGAGGGCAGCAAATGACTAATGCTTCTCTTGATGCAAGGGGCCTAACGGCAAGAGTAACTGAGGAGGAAGGTGTCAATCTGACAACACATGCACTCAAATTCCAGCTGATACTGAATGCACTGATTGTTCACATGTGCCCAGGCTGTGTTCATCACTTACACTGAAGAAGTGATGCATGTGAGCTGGATCTCTGTGTGGCTGTGAAGAGCCACGTACACATTTGGTTTGGGGTAAATGTGTTTCTTTTAACTTACCTGTCGACAAGCAAACAAGACAGGGCCTGTGGCTAACCCAAGCTTGAGATCTGCTGCTGCTGGTTTCCCAAGATGGTCAGCACATGATGTAAAATCCAGCACATCATCTATTAGCTGCAAGGAGATAACGACGATTAGCTTAGGGCATTTTTTTTAATTCTTGTTAAAATTACATTTATAGCATTAAGACAGCCCACGTCAGTTTCTAAGGCAGTTGGGAAAAGTTAAGATTCCCCTTATTTCAACAAAAGCACTACCTGAAAAGCAATGCCAACGTTTTTTCCATACTGGTATGCGATCTCGTGAACTTTGGGATCGGGGCAGCCTAGAATTGAAACCTGAAAAGAAAAACAAAACAAGTGAATGGAAAGATTCAGCCAGGAGCCGCTTCTGGCCTGTGACCAGAGGGTGACACAGCAAGCACCAACAGCGAGAATCCGGGAAAGGATTAAATGCTGACTCGGCAGCACATTCTTGCTTATCTCTTGGATACACACGACAGCCAAGCTTATTAGGAAACAAAGCTGAGGGGCAGTGCACTATTAAGAATATATTCAAGTCTGATAGGAGATTAGGTTTATTAAATATTCATCAGTTAGAAATTATAATGCACGGATGAAGAGAGAAGAAATAAAGATGCATTGCACATGCAGGCTAATAGTCATATCCAGTCCAGAGACAGATGAATTAAATTTATTACATTTATAAATCAGCCAGGGGATAATTGTAAGTCAGACAATAGATAATTGCACATTGCATGCCTCATAAAAGATCCACAAAATTGGAGGAGTTGCACCCACAGAGGAGGGTCAGTTGAGATAAGGTTATTTTTAAGGGTGATGTTATCTGCCTGAAGCAGAATTGCTCAGAAGACACCTGATAAACTTGCAGACAAAGGTATCAAGGGATAAATGGCAAAGAGAAATAAGGTAGAGAATGAAGAAAGCTCACCGAGGTAGACAACGGGATCACAAAACTGAGATAAATACTTTAACTGAGCAGAGACAGAGGAACTGACTACTTGAGAGAGAGCTTTCACTAAATAAATTCCACAAAACTGAAATATAGGACTGAGGAACATCTGGGAACTATATTGCCTCCTAGGAAGGGCACTTATGCTTCTGCACTTATCTGTTGACTGCAGAATGAGGTTGGCTATGTTTAAATTGCCTTATTCCTGTCCTCAATGAAGCTACCAGAAATAGGGGGCAAAACCCATCCAAGTCTGCTGTGGCTGATGGAAGGGGCAAAGATGCATTTCATTTACTGCGAGACTAAGAATGTGCTAGGAAAACCAGGTGACATAAAAATGAGTCAGTAAATTACAAAGACCATCTCTGTAAGGAACACAAAAGGTAGGATCATTAAAAACAAACGGGAAAAAAAAAGAATCCCCAGCAAAAAGCAGGTCGAGGAATAGCTTTGAGGGTGATCATGAAGATGGACGTGAAACAATGTTAGATGCTGAAGGATCAATGTATTACATATACCCTAATGAGTATGATGCAGCGTATACAAAGTTGGAGACTATTTCACGCTTCAGTGCATTTTGTAACTAAGCACCAGAAAATTCCCTGTCATAGCCTTCATGGATGGGTAACAGCAGACCCCCAGGGGTCTCAGCCATTAACATCTCGCTCTTCCCAGTTTTATTTAAGAGGACAGCATAGCAGGGAAATGACACTACCTATGTCTATTCATATGACATAGGCCATTAAAACAGTGAGCTGCAAATATGGGGCACTCAAGTGGGACTTGCTAGAGACTGTCCAGGGAGGACATCTTGCCCTTGTACCCTCCTTCTGAAGCTTTTCTCTTAACTAGCAGTATTTGCCCCTCAAAGCTAACATCATCTGCTGCTCTGCAGTGCCTAGAAAACTTGGTGCTTCTGTAATACAAAGATCAGCAAGGCAGAGGGACTGCATTTACCCCGTGCCAATGAAATCTTTGCATATTACCAAATTTAATGTAAAGAATCAAAATAATTCAGCAGAAGGATATTCAATTGGCAAAATCCTGGTTGATGGCAAAGAGACAGAGTGGGGACAAACTGGTAGGTGGAGGGAGGAAGGGCTACAGCTAGAGAAGAGCTTCCTCTTTAAGCTGGGAGGTCAGAGCAGAGCTGTCACTGCAGGTGGGCAGTTCTCTGGGAACACTGACATCACCCACACAGGGAATTATGGCACTGCATGTGCATTTCAAAAACAAAAGCACGAGTTCTTTACACGAGAAAATTCACCACTGCAAAAATGAATTCCTGCATCTTTGCAAGAGAAGACCTTTTTTGTATGCCCTATTTACGTTACAAACCACTCAGAGGACCAAAAAAATAAATCCATCAGATCTAATAGACCTTTCGCTACTCTCTTACCATGACCACACCATAAACCTGCAAACACCACTGGGTCCTCCCAGCAGGGCTCCTCCAGGATCCAATTTCTAAAACTCTTCTTGTGGATTATTGCCCCCAAATGGACACTCACTGGGATGCAGGCAGGCTTGTCCCAGTCAGCCTGCTGCTCTGCAAGCAATGGGAGTCAGCCTGAGGCCATACTGGGATAATAGAAGACATTTACAAATAAAAATCAGTATAACAACATAAATATAATTATGTATGCTTAAGTGATAAAGCTGATGCCTTGCAGGTCATCCTATAGCTCCCCTGTGTGGGGGTTTGTTGATTAAAATTTTAATCTTGCAAGAATTCAGACTTGTCCTCTAGTAAATTCTGATTTTAAAAAATCCTTCCTTATATCAAGTGGAACAAATTCTTCAGAAAGGTTCTTTGAATTCATTCAACCAAGTCAATCTGCTTGGTATTATTTCAAACACACTTTTTAAGATAGAAAATTGTTTCCAATTTTTTTGTGTTACATGACAGCCTGTAAACCAATCTTGCCTCCCTGCTGACTTTTCACATCCATAAAGTATTCTGCCATCACCTCTGGATACATCCTGCTCTTCTACCTGCCACGTGAAAATAGAGCAGCTGGGGTTTCGAACACTTGCACGTCTGCACTGGTGACTTGTACCCCCAAACAGAAGCACCTGCTGCTGGGAAGAAACACGCTTGTCTAAATGGCACATGAGATGTTTGTTCTCCTTCTCCTAGGCTGGGGGCCATCTTGGAAAGGAAAAAGCTCTGAAATCTTCCCCTTCAGCTGCTCTCCAGCCTTCCTCCACACCCCATCTGAAGCAGTCAGGATCCTACCTTCTTGGTTGCAGCTCACCTGGCTCAGTTTCCAGGTGATAGCACCACTCTTCCAGGGGAATTCCAGAATAGTTTGGGTTGAAAGAGACCTCTTAAGATAATTTGGTCCATTCATCTGCTCAAACCAGGGCTTACTACATTCAGAACAGGTTGCTCAGGGCTGTGTCCAGCTGAGTTCTGACCATCTCCAAGGATGGAAATCCCACGCCCTGTATGGGCAATGCGTTCCAGCATTTGACCAAACTCACCAAGAATTTTTTCTCAACACCTAATTGAAAATTTTCATGGAAAAGCTCTTCCTTTCACCCTGCATCTCCATCTTCTCCTACACTCTGACACAGCTGGAGACAACACGAGGATTCCCCCTCAGCTTTCTCTACTCCAAGCTGAAGCCAACTCTTGTTACACTACGTGCTTCAGTCCCCAGCCATCACTGAACTCACCCAGCAATGAGAACCTTGGTCTTGTATGAGTGAGCTCAGCTTGAGTACACTACTGCCAGTGAGGTCTGACATGTGCAGAGCAAAGGAAACCAGCCACACTGATGTGCTGGCGACGCAGCCCCTTATGCTTTTAGCCTTCACTGCCACAGGGCCCACTCTCCTCCAGCCTCCTCAAATCCCCATTGATAACTCTTGGGAAGGAGGTTAGGAAGGTCTGCCTACTAGAGGAAGGCATCTACCCAGCAGCTCTGCATGCAGCAGACAACTTTTGACCACAGTTTGCATTTTCATACATTTAACATGTCCTCAAGTAAAAGTTATCTGTCTCAGTATCTGCAGTGTATTTATGATAATCTTTCTCACAGTAAACAGATTATGAAGAAGAAAATCCCACAGGAACTACTGCAAGGAAATTTATTAGCTGACCATCTGATGCCACTGATGCTATGAGCCTACATCTTTCATCGGACGTTACTGTAGTCAGCGTGCTTAGTTTGAGGATGGGGCAGAGATCCATTTTGCTGGTGGTGTTTCAGCTTCTAGTATTTCAGAGGTATTATTTTCTTCAGCACCACTTCCATACCCTGGCAGATGTTTTTTTCAGCAGGAGCCCGGTGCATACATGAAACCATGAACTAGTTAAAGTAGATGCAGAGCTGATGCTGTTCCTTCCTTCAGTCCCTCAGCCAGACCTCCCACACACAATCATGTCTCACTCCCCGAGGCTGCATGCTCTCCCCTATCAAACAAATCCATCTCTTGTGCAACTTCACACTGATCTTGCAACAAGCATGTTTAAATCCCTGTTTTGAAAGTGTGTTATGCAAAATACAAATAGCTTTACAAGGGTTAGGAATACACATTAAGGCATGATTTAAAAAAAAAAAAAAAAAAGAGAACCTGCTAAATTTATTTTGCCTTCTCCAGCGTGACTGATGACAGACAGAAATTCCACTGCAGACTCATTATTAAATTTTGAACCAGTCACCTGCTGTGATTCTCTGAAAAATGCCTTTCAGTAACTAAGCCTTCAGTGACCCTCTGGGCCATCTGCCATCATTTTCTTTTGCAACATATTACTTTGGCTGCAACTTTGGTTACATTCCCCCATGTAAAACTATGGTAGAAAGAAACCGAGGACTGGGATGGCTCTAATATTTTGAGCATACTGCTCTGTCAATTAAAAACAACAGTAATTGCTATAGTAAAGGACGTTTGATTCGAGTGCTGTGATGCCTTGGAGATGCAGAAGATGTCTGTCAGCACTCATCTGAAGCGTTGAACAGACTAGTGATCACCCTGCTCAGACATCTTACCAGGAATACTCTGCATTCCTCCTACCCAGCGTACAATTCTAAGATGCCTCCTGAACCAGTTTGACGTTCCAGTTAATATTTGTGCTCAGTTATGCACCAAAACTAACCAGTGTCTTTTCCTATCATTAGAAGGATTTGAACTGCATCTGGTGACTCGCCCAGTTACAGCTGATGTTCTGTAAATCCATAATCTCCCTCCTTGGTTTTGTCCCAGAAAATAGGATGTGAATACTCTTCATTCCCCAGATGAATTTCCTTTCAAGTTACAATGATGATCCCGGTGATCATCTTCACTGACAGAACTCCCTTCTGATTTATGGTCAAAATCATATGAATGGAGAAGAAAAAAGAAAACAAAAAACAAAACAAAACAAAACAAACCCAAACTTTTCACTGCTAAAAAAACAGCAGAGCTCTCCTAATCCATGAAACAGAGGTAGGCATGCATATACAAATCATGCATACTGTGTCCTGCAAGTGTGATCTCACCTTAAGGAGAAAAGCCTCCTTTGTTTTAATTTGTAACATAAATTCTACTACATATAAACATGCAGAAATTCAGCACTGTAACAACTCAGAAGAGTTACTTGAAGAACAGCACTCAAACACGTCCTTCCCATTCACCTGCATCACAGCAACAGTATGGAAGTAAATGCTCAAATCCTTAATTCTTCTGTGAGTTATGAAAAGGAAAACATTCCAAATAATAGATTTGTGAGGAGACCCCCCTCAGTGGGACGGTGATCCTTCTCTCCACGAAGGTTCTATTAGGATGACTGTCAAAGTTCATGTAAAATCTTTGTGGGGGTTTTTGGGGGGTAGCAGAAAATAAATAATGATGCTCCTCACTACTCCAACTCCCACTAACGTAAAGGAATTGCAAAGGGAAATTCTTGCCTGGGTCATTCTGTCATCAATACAAGCAATCCAGAAAATTTCAGTTCTCTCCTCTGACCAGAAGAAACTGTATAATGAAAGACAATTTTCCTCCCCACACAATGCGTGTCTCTCATTCTACATGATTTTCTGGATAGAAGCAATTTTCAGCTGCTGTCTGTGGCACAAACACACAAGCACTCTGAGAACACAGGAAGATTGACACAGGTTTATAATCTAATACCCCCAGAACTCTCTTGCTATGCCACACACCAGCTATAATTGCTTCCATAAAAAAAAAAAAGAAAGAAAGAAAGAAAGAAAGAAAAGAATTTCAATATTATATATAACTCAATGGGGATAAGACTAGTGCTCAGCTTCTCCATTTTCTGCACAAGTTTTTTGAAGAAGGACATCATTTTGAATCAGATCCTTCTGTAGTGAATTATCAGAACTGGCCAACGGGTAAAGTTAGATATAGCAGGGTTCCAGACAAACCAACACGTACGTGCTTGTGTTTTTTGAGAATATAATGTGGAGTATATGCAAGTGCTTGTTTTCTCCCACTGCTATAATTTAAGGTCCCAGTTTGCATTGACGGGTGGGACCAGATGTCAGAGAAGACTTAAAATCAAATTACAGGACCAGGAATTCTCAACTGACATTAAAAAACATTGCCTGAAAATCGCAGAATTTCATAAATTTGTGGCTGCCACTGTGAACCCCGTTCTGAATATCAATACATCTGTGCATGAATATAAAACAGGAAGAAATGAAAACCAATATTGGAGGCTACCCAGCTGATCTGGGATAAAGCGCACAATATCAGACTCATTCTGGCAGAACATCATCTAAAGGCTTTACTTTGGAGGGTCTCCAGAGAAAGCAAAAATAATCAGGAGTTGAGCTGTGAAGCTTACAGTACGGTATGTTAACGTTGGAAGAGACAGACGTACATACTGCTTTACAACTGTTTGCTATCAGACTCGCCGTCTTCTTAAAAGTCTTCTCGAGGTAGTGAGCAAATCTCTCATTCTCATTTTCCTTGGAACCCAACTGGAGGAATTCACCTGAAATTTTGCACAGATTCAAGTTTTTATTTGTGGGTTTACTGCTGAAGCAAACAAGTCTGAAGATAAAAACAGAAAAAGACCTTACCACGCACCAGATCTTCAATCACCTGAGTTAGAACAGAGACAATAGTAGTGTTTCCAATTCGTGCTAAAGCTAAGGAAGCAGCTGATAGGATGAAATCACCAGCTAGAACTGCCTAAGAGTTAAAAAGAAAAAAAAAAAAAAGGAAAAAGAAAAATCTTTTGTTTTCCTGCAAGCATTAGTACAGATGATACAACTTTGTTATTTTTGGCACACCTTCTCACATCACATCATTTTCCTACATAAAGCATACATTTCTCATTGTAACAGAGAGAAAGCAGAAGACAGCCAAATGTTCCACTTGGAACCATCTCTCAGTTCCTATCTTATACCGCTGGTTAAATTTTTCTGCATAAGTAGTGCTCTCTCTCTGTGCAACATCTGCATGTGTTTTCATGGTAAGTTTGAAGCATTTCCTTTCTATCTGACTGTTCTGCTGTGACTGTTACACCATGTCAGCTCTGAACTGCCTCGATCAGTTCTGATGTACCAGTAATTATCTTTTTTCCTTACATGTTTTGATTAAGGCCTTCCTTCACTCCGTGAAGAAGCAGCACTCAAAATATCCTCATGCTGACCAGAAAATGTTGTGCATTCATCACTGACACAGTCTAACCTACTGTGTTTTGAATGAGGTACAACTTCAAAAGCAAAAGACACGGGGAAGTTGAAAGCACTAACAGTTACTCCAGAATCACAGCTTCTCTAATGCTTCCAAAAGTTCAGTAACAGAACACCCATTTGTCTTACCTACAATCTGGACACAAGGCTTCACGCTTTTTCTGGAATATCCCAAGACTGTGCCCAGAGATAGAAACACAGCAAAGAGCCTGGATGTTTCTGCTCTGCCACAACTAAAATGCAATCCTTCCATCCTCACCTTCCTCTCTCCCCAGATCTGGTTGACTGTCATTTTTCCTCTGCGAGAATTTGCATCATCAATGACATCATCATGAACGAGGCTAGCTGTGTGGATCATCTCTGCAATTATGGCCACAGAGCGCTGGCTTGCTTGCACCTCCCTAAAATGAAAAACAAGATTTGACATTTAATTAAACACATTTTGTGTGCTGCAGTGCGACTGCAAGAAATCTCTACTAAAACCACGCAAAAAATATATTTTGCTGAAAACAGCTGTTGCAGGATTTCCATGGTCTGAACCCCATCTTTCAAACCTGAAATTAGGAAGACAAGAGAAAGTAAGATTATGTTAGTACAAGAAGCACAGTGCAATGTTTCCATCCTCGTTAGGCCCTTTTCTGTCTTGCTGCATTAACAGCATTGCGAAACTCCTCAGTTACTGACTGTAATCCTGCTAAATCCAGACTGCAATAAATAGCACAGCATTAAGGATGCTTCATTCCAAGAAGACAGAAATCAGGAAAAGGGCAGAGAAAAGGGTGCCAAGTAGCTCTGTAGCAGCGTTTGAAGTTTTCCTCATCTCCCTATTGCTCTGCTGCAGCACCACAAACTCTCCCAAACTCTACAAACCAGCACGCTGGAGAGAACAGCAGACAAAGAAAACCTTTATTCTACATCTGAATACATAATTTGCTGATCTTATCCTTTTATCTTATCCGATTATTCTAAGGCTTCAGAGGTTCTTCAAAAGCCTGAAGAATTAACCGGAATTATACTGCAATCACTGTAGGGCTGTAAACACAAACTACTAACTCCTAAGGAAATTCAGCCTTTGGGAAGACCTAACACTGATGATTCAACTCTCAGTAGTTCACATTTACTTTATTTTTCAAACTAGGTGAAAAAGACATGGAAGAACATAACAGCAACTACCTAGGGACCACACTGGCACAACGAACACGAAAGACCTGTCCTACCTCAGAAAAAAGCACCATCAACCCTACTACCGAACTGCCCCTGCCTTGTTTTATTATCTACATCATCTGTGATCTCATAAAAAGCTGCATGCAGGATCCCAGAAATGCTACCCCTATCAGCCTTGCCCTATAGCCCTAACAATCCCACATGGATGTGAAAAGAATAGAACAGGTAACATTACTTCTGATATATAAACGCCTTACTTCTAGTATACAATTAGCAGAGCAATTAACACTATTTTCAAGCAGAACAGAATAAGAAGTGAAAAAAAAGAACTGAGATAAAGCAGAAGTTAATCATTTCAGCTCAACTGAATGCAATCTAAAATTTTGCACTGCCTAGTCTATTAAAATCTAGTGATTAATCACAAAATGAAAGAACATCTTGCAGTCTGCTGACATAACACAGTGTTCTGACACCTACCTCTATGCAGAGCTATGCATTGCTGTCAGTGGGAGTTCTACATCCTGAACAATAGCAGGATGTGTGGCTCACAGGCTGTGAAAACGTAGCTTTTCAATAACACAAAAATAAGAGCTGGAAACCTTCATAGCTGTTTGATGGTAAGTTTCACTGTGGACTAGTAATTTGGTCAAGTGCTAGTTCAGTCTAAGCAGTTTTCAAGAAAATACATTGTTACTAAGTAGGAGAACTTACCTTCAAACAACTGTAAAGGTCTCCAGCCTCTTTCATGCACAGGTCTCCTTTTGGGGACTCCCTTTTTCATTAATATGACAGCAGACTGGACTTCCTGCTGGGAAGTAGCAGTAAAGGGCAACACTCACAGACACGCCAATATTTTCAGTAGTATGAATGCAGCACAAGCACAGACATTTCAAAAACAGGTTTTGAAAATTCTGTTTTACAGTGCAGCTCATTTCTGACAATGACCAAAAATGGCAGGGTTAAAGTGTCTGGCTTTCATACAAGTTATATCACCCGTTATAAATCAACCTGGAGGCTTTTTATAAAGCTGCTATTTCCGGAAGTTCTCCAGCAAGGTTCTTCCCATCTGTGGCCAGAAATTTTGCAGTAGCTTCCTACAAACACTTGTAAGAAAAAATTTGGAATCAGAGCATGCCTACTTTAGGGAAAACACAAAAGAAATGGGATCTTCCTTTTTCCCTGTCATTTTTCATTCAACTCCGCCTGCAAAACAAAAGCAAAAAGTGCTGGTAGTAACTCAGGTCAGCAGGTAACTGGATCACCACGAGGCCACTGAGTGCAGTGATGCCATTTTTAGGTCATTCTCAGAATAAAGGCACCCCAAGGTGCTGTATATTACAAGTATATTCTGTGCAACTAGAACTTCATCTTTTAGAAATGAATATAATGCACATGTGAGTCCTTGATCACATTCTACTTTTCAACAGGATCTCCTGCTTGACTCTGCAACAATCATTTATAGGCACACAGTACCACAGGGAACCAGAACTTGTTTCAAACGCACTGAAGAAGACCAACGTTGAACTTACAGGTGAGCAAAACTTCTGCCTCCAAACCAACACAACATTAACAGCTGCAACAAGGTGCTTTGCTATGTGTATGCCAGTAGGTAAATACTGCCAGTTAAAAGGCCAGAAACTTGCAACAGAACTTGCAAAATTTCTGCTGAACAATCACACTCCTCAAAGTACATTTCTGCTGTTAAGTTCATGTGGCTAAAAGAAAGTAATGCTTCAGAAACACAGCCTATGACACAGAAGGACACTACAAACTAATGGAAGCATAGAGAAGGGATGTGTTAACTAGGAACAAACTACAGAACTACTGAGAAACAGCAAACAGTAGAGGCATCTGACAATGAAGAAGGAAAGCAAAGAGGGCTAGGGTTGCTGGCAGATCCCCATATGATAGGAAATATTCAGTCCAGTTTGGCTATGACATTATATTTAAGTATTTCTCTACCATTTTGATATATTTATTTCCCTTTTTTTCCTCCCTAAACATTTTTTTGCTTACTATTTTCTCCATCAAGATGCCTCTGTACTTCTTTGGCCTTCTTTCTGTTTGTCTCTCATTTCAGTTGCAGAAATAGACAAAAATTCCTATATATAAGCACCCTTGGAGAATATATCTTACATAGAAACCAAGGACCCATCAGGTTAAGTGATAATTCTGTGAAATTCTGCACACAGGTGTCATGTGAAGAAACATCAGGGGATGTGTGAAACTGAGGGTTTGCATGACTTCAATTTCAACTCTTTACAGTAATTTTCATTCTCACACAAAGATAAGTTGCCGTCACTAAACAAACAAACAAACAAAAAACCTAAAAAATGAAGACTCAGAGCTGGATTTTTGACAATTGGATATTCAAGGGGAAGAGAAAAATAAACCATACTAGCACAAAACAGCCTGAATGCTTTGGATGGCTATTTTTTGACAACATTTTGGACCGTTATGGCCTTGTACAACAGTCATTCTCTTTACAATGACTAAAACAAAGCAACCCTACTGTAGAATGCCAGCTAACCTGCTAGGGGCATTCTATATAGCTAACCTTCTCAAATCTAAACTCAAAAGATCATATCACTTAATCAGTAAGCAGAGCTATCTGGGTATCTGTCTCCATTCCCTAAGAAATTTCATCCATTCTCATGGGGCTCTGTGAAGACAGAGACATCACTGTGAACTGCTTCAAAAGATCAGGACTCATATCCTTATGAAGTTGTGTCCTGTTATTTTAATAACCAAGCAGGGAAGAGTAGTACCTTTTCAAGTAGTACCATAGGAAAGGAAAACAAAGCAAAAACAACCTAGAAAAACAACAAAAAACAACTGAAGAACCAGCAAAAGCATGGTGGATCCAGAAAACTGTAGGACAGCTGAGAAGGGCAGCATGGTCTAGGTTGTAGTAAATGGTGCTACCTCAGACTGGCATCCAGTCACTAGCAGGGCTCCATTTTAGGGTCAGTTCTCTTTCATGCCTCTTTAATTTGGATGTAGAATTAGAGGGTGTTTTGAGTAAGTTTGCTGATGATACTAAACTGGGAGGAGCTGTTGACTTCACTGAGGGTGAAAATGCCTTGCAGGCCTCTAGGCAAATGAGAGAGCTGGGCAATCACCAGCGACACCAAGTCTAACAAGAGCAAGTGCTGGATTCTGCACCTGAAAAGGGGCAACTCTGGCTATTACATACAGATTGAGGGATGTGGCACTGGAGAGCAGTGTCACTGAAGGAGACCTGGGGGGTCTTGGTTGACAGCAAGTTGAACATGAGCCAACAGTGTGCCCAGTCAGCCAGGAAGGCCAGGCCTGATCCAGGTGGTGCATCAAGCGCAGCATGGCCACTGGGTGAGGGAAGAGACTGAACTGCTCTACAGTGCACTGGCGTGGCCTCAGCTTGAGCAACATACAGCTTTGGGCAGCACAGTATGAAAAGGACATAAAACTATCAGTGTGTCCAAAGAAGAGCTACAAAGATGGTGAAAGGTCTGGAGGACAGGATGTGTGAGGAGCAGCTGAGGTGCCTGGCTGCGCTCAGCCCAGAGCAGAGCAGCTGAGGGGAGGCCTGATGGCGGCTGCATCTGTTTTTCCCCGTCTCAGATCTACAGCAGAGTAGCAGAGTAGCAAAAATGCAGTTTGTTTCTCTACACGTACATTTTCCCTCACGAACAGTAAAAAGATGGAAGAACAATTTGTCAACCGGAAGCAGTAATTCTGTAAGAAGCAACAATAATGAAATTACTGTCAGTGTGAGCTGGAAGTATACATTTAGATGAAACAGGTGTTAACACACAGCCTGCCTCAAGAAACTTAAAAGCAAAGAGAAGAAAATGCATATGAAACTTCATTAATCCACATACCAAGTAGGCATGCAAAATATGAGAGTGTATTCTTTCACATGGCCTACCCAACCCTCAAAAGATGTTGGACATCATGCAGCAGCCAAAAGGCTTGCAGAAACATATATGAATTTCAGTTACAATTACAGTCTTTAAGAAAAGCGTCATGAAGCAAAGAGAAAGATAAATACTCTGGGATTTCATTCTCTTCTTTTATTGAAACCTTTCTGCCCTCCCTACTCAGAATTTCATTCTAAAAAAAAAAACAAAAAAAAACAAAAAAAACCCAAAAAACCAAGAATAAAGAAAAAACTAAACATGACAGACATGACAGAGATGGTGACTCGGCCTCTTCTCGTAAAAGGTACACTTAAATTAATGAGACTTTTAATCATCAAGCATAGTTTGGAGGTGCTGACAAAAACTGAGAGCTGTACAAAAGCTGTCAAATGACACAGGTATCTATAAAGCAGCGTCAGTGCTGAGGGTTGGCTCCTGAACTTAGTAATATGTAGCATTCAGAGTCTGAGATCACGCTTTCTCACCGGCACAGGGCAGATGTCAAAGTGGTCCTGACTGTTTAAAGACAGCATAACGCATGGACAAATGTATATGCATGAGCATATACATGTTAAAAGGCAGCAAATACCATTATATGCTTCCTTACATCAAGTCTGGACTTCTTGGTATTGCCTGTACACTACATAATTTTATTGATAAGCTTCTCATACAACACATTAGAATGAGATAGAACTATCTTTTCCATTATTCTGACCAGATGGCTGTTCCAAAAACTCACTGTTCCAATTGTTAAAACTCTCCTAAATTTCCATCCTGAACACATTTACTCTTATCAATACTGTACGTTGTTTTAAACAGCTTTCTTCCTGCAGACAGCAAGTCCTTCACTCACCCTGATTCTCCTTCCAGTCCATCCCTCATCTTTCTTTAAACACAGGAAACATGGAACTGATGATTTCACAAAGCACTGTACAGTTATATCAGCTCTTCCTTAGCTGAACTGGCTATTTTGTGATCGATGCACACGAGGATCACTTCAAGGTTTTTCACAGAGGTGTCTGCAAATCTCACTGAGGTTACTCCATAATGGGACACTTGTGAGCCTTCAAGCTCAAACAGAAATTTTTGTTTCATTGTTCTACCTTTCATTCCACCACAGATGGCAAGTCATCAAGAATGACTGTCATCAGAAAGTGCCATTGCCACACTCATGGCAAGAGCACTTGTAAAAATATTAAGCAAATCAGTGCTGTGGGAAAGGATGTCTCTGAGGACTTTCAGTAACATTATTTCTTCTTTTTATGTCTTTGTCACTGTCTCAGAGTGGTACTGTACAGAAAACTGAATTAAGCTGAAGTTCATTGGTCCAAGACAAACTGGCACGCGCAGGACAGGATATTGCCAATTAGGTTTTTCTTTCCCCTTATAAATTATATTCACATAGGAAGGGAGAAAATTTCACTGTTATACAGGGAAAGGTGCCATATCAAGCCACAAAGTATATGCTGTGCTCGAAGGTATAAAAATCAAATAATTCAACAAGGCACTAAGTTATCACTAAGGAGATGATGGTGCAGTAGCTGGGAAATCCCTTGAGATCAATAAATTCAAGTCAAGACACTTCTGGCTAGGGACCAAAAATGTCATACTTGAAATTCTATGAGGGCAGACTGGAAACATAACTGGAATGCAGAGAGCACTTCAGCCAACATTTTTACCACAAAACACAAACAAAACTGACAGGAATATGTGGAAATAAGTATCTGCTGTCAGGCAGAGCAAGGAGTGATGTTCTACTCTGTCAAAACTCTCAAATTGAAAATCATGAGGATAACAGCAGAATCTTTGAATAAAGAACCTGACATTAAAGCATACAAATCTGCTCCCAGAGCTGTAGCACCTCTGACTGTCTCAATGTCTCACAGCATCAAATACAATTATGCCACCTGCTTGATGGCTTTTCTGTGTAATAACAAACACACATTATGAAAGTCCCTTCTTACAACAAAGTTCTCATCTGTTCAAGAGTTTAACAGCTACAAAAATGGTTACAACTGAAAAACAGTTAACAGTTTCCAAGAGTGTTACAGATTCTAACAAATCATTTATGAGAGAAGCTACAATTTGCTTAAAAGCCTCACCAGAATTTGACCACATTGTTTTCCATCACCTCAGTTACAACTGAAGTACAGCCCACAATTTCTCATCTTGAAGCATATAATAAAACCAGTAGTCCACTTTGCACTGCTAAATTCAAAAATACATCTTCAATATGGAATTTAAACTCAGGCTTTATTGAGTAACATTTTATTTCTATAAAGTTACTTGACATATTTTTGGGGAAATGCAGGAACGATGCATTTCAAGTACGATGTAAGTCCATATACTGAAGAGCAACTGACTCACCTGGAATTGCTATGGTGAATGTTGCAAGCCCTTGCCATTAGCACCACGATCATTGGTCGAAAGGCCTTTCCTTTCCCATCAAAGTAATATTCACACATTTCCTTAAGTTCAGCAGTAGATACAAGTAACTCCTACAGAAAAAGACACCAGCATTAAAGTCACAAAGCCAATCTTACAGTTCAAGTAGTATGCACATAAAAGGTTATTGCCCTTTTCATTCCACCCAATGTAAGCTGACGTCATTTTTACTTTTCATTGTAATCTGAAATATAATTGATGTATTCAAGCACTGTATGTCAGGATAAAACAAAAATTGCATTCTAGTTCTATACAGTACGTCAAAATGCTTTCTTTACTTCCAGATAAGTTTACAAACAGCTTTTCATAAACATGAAGAACAGTCCCTAAGTAACTACCCTCCACAACAACAGTTGCAATTAAAGTCAGAATTGTTACGATATCCCAGAACAGTCACCAAAACTCCTTACCTTTTTAATATCCTCATAGAGATTCTTCAAGTCTTTTCTGCCAAGTTGAAAAGGGTCTTGGTATTTTTCATCACTAACTGTCTTACTGCAGCTGCACATGTGGGCTGTACTTGTATGATAAAACCTGGTGACAGGGTTTTTCAAAAGATAAATATTGTTAAAAGCCAACTTCCCTTGGTTCTACAAACAGAAGCCGTTCAAAGCACACCTTCCTCCTTCCTTTTCCTCTCTCCCCTCTTCCCCCCCGCCCCCCCCCCCCAAAAAAAATAATAGTGAAATAGCTAAAAGATAAACACAAGGCATCAAAATACTCATTTTAACTAACTACTGAGGAATAAGGACAGTAAAGCTACTTGTTGATGATTGTAGACTTCTAGGAGCTAGCAAAGTGCAGCATTTGGAAACCAATAATCACCATATTCCCCAAGCACTCATGCACTTAACAGATTACAGAAGTCTCCTGAGTACCAAACTACACTGCTCTCAGCTTATTCCTTCGGAACACACTGTATGGTACTGTAGTGCACAGTTGTAGATGAAGCCTTCATCTTCTAGCAACACAATTGTTCTGCCAATTTCTTCCCACTTCTAGACAAATGTTCCTGGCTTGGATTTGAAAGTTTCCCTTTACACACCCAGCTACATGAGATGGCCTAACCTAAGTTATACATTAAATCAATACTTCCAGTTAGTATCATGATCCCATGCAGCGATAAGGGTCAAAGTTCTACCTGCATACATCAAGGTGCATTATACCTGAGTCTTATTATTTCTTTATATTCCCTGGAGCTGAAGGCTATGGTTCTTAGTGGGCCTCATTTTTCAAAATGTATTTCATGATTTGAAATGAGCTTTGCCCACTGCCCTCCTGAATGGAAGACTCAGACTCTAGCCCAACACCACAACGGTGGTCTACGTGGAATTATCCAATGTTCTGTAGCAAATAACCTTACTTTCAGTCTATGCTTATGGCTCACGGTGACTGCACAGGTCAGCCAGTAACTACATCTTTTCCCATCAAGGAACAAGGGCCTCCAACTTACCGCCAAGATATACTACACAGTTTTGGAAATGACCATACTGGGCTTCTTTGGGGAAAGTGACACATCTGTGCAAAGAAAAACCAAGGTTAATTTCAAAAACAGAATTTAAAACGAATGGAAAACATCTGATTACAAAAGCAAGCGTTCAGCACCTCCCCTTTTTTTTCTGAACAGCTCAGCAGCAAAGGCAGCCTCTTAATCCTCCTCTGCATCACGTGAAGCGCCGCTGCCCCTGCGTCCATGAGATGCCGACTTACAGACTTCTGCTCAGGCGCAGTGAACTTTCTCCCCTTGCAGGAGCAGCCAGCAAAGCGATCAGCGCACTTCCAGCGAGCAGTGCTTGCTCTTGCACTCACGGAAGTGCAGTTTTCAAACGTTCCCCGTGTTACAGATAAATCCAGACAGCACCGCTCGCACAGAAAGGGACGGGAGCTTTCTGTAAAACGCCGCACGAAGTGAAGAACGTACGCTCTGTTTTCCCCTGAAGCCGTTTTAATTCGGCTATGATTTACACCTACACCCTGCGGACGCCAAGAACGTAACCCCAAAGCCGACAACGTCCTCAGAGACCCTTCAGCAGGCTCGGACCCCCGGGCCCCACACCCGTCACACCGCCCAGAGCACGCGGAGCCGCCCTGCCGCCACGCCCGGCTCGGCGCCTCTTCCTGGGCCCCGCCGCCCCATTCATCGCCGGTGACCTCCAGGCGCCCGCCGCACTCACCGCGGCGCGCAGGGCGGGCGGCGGTCCGCGCTGGCCGGGAGCCGGCGGGAGGAGAGGCGGCGCGGGGTCGAGCGGCGGTGCCCGGCAGCAGGAAGCGCCGCACCGCCACCACAAGCGCAAGGCCATGCCGTCCCCGGCAGCGCCGGCACCGCCGTCCTCACCGCCGCGACCCGGAGGCGGAAGCCCGGCGCCGCGACCCGCCGCGGGGCGGCCGGGAGGGGGGGGAGGGGGAGGAGCAGTTACGTTCCCCCCCGCTGCCTCGCCTCCCTCCCGGCAGGGAGAGCCATACGGCCGTCCCGCCGCGCCGCGGCCGCGCCGAGCCCCGCCCGCGGGGAGGGCGGCGGTGTGGCGGGGCTGTTGCTCCCCGGAGTGCTCGCCTGCCTCGCGTGGCTCTGCGGGGCCCGGGGCCCGCCGGAGCCGTTCTGCCCCGCCGTACTGGGCCCGAACGCGTCGCGCCTGGAGCGGAGCTGCGACAGGGAGCAGCGGGCGGCTGCCGGCATCGGCGCGTGGGGCCTGAGCTCGGGGAGCCTGCTGGGTGCGCGCGCGGCCCGGGGTGGCGGAGAGAGGGGCGGCTGCTGCTGCTCGTGGGGAGCTGTCGTAATGCAGGGGCGGAGAAGTCCCAGTTCAGCGTTAGTGCAATCAGCTGGCAGCGATTTCCAGTACCCAAGGCTGTGTAGCATACAGAAATGCTGTAATAGCAAAAGTTATTTCCATATAACCCCGTGTACATTATTAGAGGTGATGATTTGGTGGGTGAGGTGCCTGGCTGCGCTCAGCCCAGAGCAGAGGAGCTAAGGGGAGGCCTGATGGTGGCTGCAGCTCCTCACAGGGAGCGGAGGGCAGCGCTGAGCTCTGCTCTGTGTGACAGCGACAGGGCTGAGGGAACGGCATGGAGCTGTGTGAGGGGAGGGCAGCTGGGCTCAGGGAATGGTTCTGCACCAGAGGGTGTTCAGGCTTGGAATGGGCTGCACAGGGCTGTGGGCATGGCCCTGAGAGCTGGAGTTAAGACACCAGAGGGTTTGGATTTTAAGTGATCCCTGTGTGGAGCTGGGGGTTGGACTCAGTGAACCTTGGGGGTCCCTTCCAACATATTCTGTTAGGCTGTGGTTTTCTTCAGGTGGTGGATTTATATGCAGGCATAAGGGCAACAACCAGTGACACACTGTGTGGCAGATGTCTGAAGCAGAATTTGCTGTTAAAAGACATTGAGAAACTTGGCTAACAGCAGGTCTCCTGAGATAATGACAACATTTTAATATTATAAGGGTGATAAGGCACTGGCACAAAGGGTCCAGAGTGGTGTTGGATGCCTGTCCCTGCAGACACTCGAAGTCAGGCTGGCTGGGGCTCTGAGCACCTGGTGTAGGTGTCCCTGCTCATTGCAGGGGAGTTGGACCAGATGACCTTTACAAGTCCTTCCCAACTCAAACCATTCTGTGATTTTACAATTTGGTGACTGTGAGACATGGGAATTTAACACAAAACTGTAAAAATATTGCAAGGAGAAATACAAAAATGTGTTAAAAGGCACAGTACTAGTGCAGTGTTATAAAACATATTTGTGCTGTTAGATGGGTCAGAGTAGCTTTGGGTGAAGAAAGAAGTACATCTTTGCATACGCATGCTGCAGCAAGAAGTGCATCCTCTGACCCATTTATTTACTGTTACATTGCTCAGAGAAGACTTTGGAACGTTACCTGGAGATCACTGCTGCATGTGGACTGTGCCGCGGTTACCAGCGTGCAGTGACTTCAGCTGTTTGCTGCCATGTTCAGCTGTGGGTGTAGCTCTTCTGGCTGCTGCAAATACCTTGTAGAGTTGCGTGTATCTGAGTACAATGTAAAACTGCCTTAGAATCATAGGATCCTTAGACTTGGAAGAGACCTTTAAAGGTCATCCAGTCCAACTCCCCTGCAGTGAACAGGGACGCACATGGATAAATTAGGTTGCCCAGGGCCTGAACTAGCCTGGCCTTGAAAGTCTTCAGGGATGGGGCATCTACCACATCTCTAGGCAGCCTGTGCCAGTGCCTCACCACCCTCACTGTAGAAGATTTTTTCCTTATATCCAAGCTAAATCTGCCCTCTTTAAGCTTGAATCCATTTCCCCTTGTTCTGTCACTACAGACCCTGCTAAGCAGTCCATCCCCTTCTTTCCTGTAGCTCCTCTTTCAATACTGACAGGCCGCTATCAGATCACCTCAAACCCTCTCCAGGCTCCGCAGCCCCAGCTCTCCCAGCCTGTCCTTATAGGAGAGGCATTCCATCCCTGGGATCATTTTTGTAGCCCTCCTCTGGATGCACTCCAGCAGGTCCACATCTCTGGTACTGAAGATTCCACATCTGGACACAGTACTCCAGGTGAAGTCCCACCAGCACAGAGCAGAGGGACAGGATCACCTCCCTGTCCACACTTCTTTTGATGCAGCACAGGGTACAGTTGTCTTTCTGGGCTGCAAGGGCTCACTGCTGGCTCATGTCCAGCTTTACACCCACCAGTACTCTGGAGACTCTTCTGATCACACTTGATTGAAAATATGTTTTAGAGCTTAAAATTGGTGTGGTCTTCTTGTTCCTTTAACTTCAGGATTCAATTATTCCTTTGAAAAATCTTAAACAGAGTAAGACCTTAAGTTTATCTGGGATTACTTTTCATACAGGTTTAATTTTGGATAGAAGGAAAAAGTTTTTTGTAATGAGGGAAGTGAGGCACTGGAACAGGTTGCCCAGGGATGTGATTGTTATCCCATCCATGGCGACTTCCAAGGTGAGGTTGGATCAGGGCCTGGACAGCCTGATTTACCTGTGTGTGTCCCTGTTCACTGCAGGAGAGTTGGACTAGATGACCTTTGAAGGTCCTTTCCAACTCTAAGGATTCTGTGACTCTCTGAATGCATGTTCTGGTAAATTTTGATTCTTTGTTCATTTTGTGTGGCTGGTTGATTTTTTTTTTTTTAATTGATTCTGAAGTATTTTGATTGAATTTTAAGAGGAAAGGTATCAAGAATAATATGGTTAGGGTTGGGTTTTTTTGTTGTTATTTTGTTTTCAGTTTTTGTTTTTTACCGTTTCTCATGTGTTTCATACAGATTCTTTTCCAATTGATCCAATCCAAGAAAATTATGTCCGTAATGTGAGAAACTGCATTTTTTCCATTGTCTATCCCACACCTTTTAAATCCAGAGTTCTTCTTGTGGCTGTTTCAGAGGTTGGTATTATTTTGGATTCTCTCCAGTTTATAACAATTATTAAAATACATATTAAAATATATTTCAATATTCATTAGCTGTTTATTGTTGAGGTGTCAATATATAATTTAAACAAATAGAACATTTAAACCATATTATGAGATGTCTTCTGATAATAAAGCATATAGACAGCGCATTTTTTTTTATCACTGGAATTTTGTTCATATTCAAGGACCACATGTATTATATTTTTCTCCAGGAAGTTATTGAAGATATTTTGGATCTTCATATATCTGTCAAAGAAACCTCTGATTTTCTTCAGTTTGTCAGCGGTGAGAAAGTGTTACATGGGTCTGTTCCTTTGGCCCATAGATACGGAGGCCATCAGGTAACTAACCCTTGTTCTTGCAGGTGGAATTGTGTAGTTCTTTTAATGTGGATTCTACCTTAAACTATATTATTTAATTATTATATTATATTTATTTATTAAATTTTAAATTATTTAATTATTATATTATATTTAATTATTAAATAACTATATTATTATTGAATTATGTACATATTGTACGTGTTGTAAATGTGTGCTTGTATACCCATAAGTACTTGAATGTGTGTGGACGTTTAGATGGCAGGTTTGCTCTTTGTGGGGGCTGCGGATGGAAGAGATCTACAATACCCTTCTGTGGTACCGTGACTGCTTTCTCTGCCTCTGTTTTCCAAAAAGCAAATTATTCTTATATTTTCTGTTAGCTGCAGAGTCTGCTTTGTACCCCACAGCCTGACAAGGTCTGATTGGTGATAGGTAGTACTGGCTCAGGGGAGCGAAGAAGGGCAGAACCTCACTGAATTCAGCAATAGCGTGATTTGATAAGAGTTAAATTTCATTAAAATAGATAAAATTATTCATGGAAAAGAGTGGTAGAATTTGGTGCATAATTTCCAGTTTAAACCATGTATTTATTACAAGCCGTGTTGGTTGAAGGGCTCATTATGCAGAAGAGACAGGTCAGTAGCTGGCTTTGTAGCTGGAGGGTAGAGGGAAAATATGGGGATTACTGTGTCTGTGTGTGGTTTCTGATTCATTGTTGGTGTGAGTGTAAAAGTGCTTTAGGGATCAATATCTTAATTACTCCTGAGCAAATGTGTCATTGTATTGCGTAGATCACAGCGAACCTACATGCAATTTGTACTGCTTGAGTTTAACTGCTGTTACTCATAGAACCAATTTGTTGTTCATTTCTGCTAGTTTGGCAGCTGGGCAGGTCAGCTGGGGGATGGAAGAGCCCACTTGGTCAGAGTGTACACAAACAGGTGCGATGCCTTCTGAAATGACTGCACTACTTCTGTATTCTGTGCAGCTGCAAACCCCAGGGTGCATTGTTACAAACTCTGATGGCATTTTTGCAGGCATGGTGAAAGGTGGGAACTGCAGTTGAAGGGCTCAGGAAAGACCCCATACTCCCGGTGAGTTGCAGTTAATTCATACATAACAAAAGTGGATGTTTTCTGCTTTAGAGTTGCCTAGATTTTGTGACTGATTTTTTTTATTTCTTTGTTCTCTGTAGGAATGGTGATGGAAGAGCTGTGCTTCGCTCTTCTGTGCGGGAATTTCTGTGTAGTGAGGCTATGCATTATCTTGGAATTCCAACAAGCAGAGCTGCTAGGTATTACTCTTTTCTTTTTCACACCTTCCTTAATTAAAGGTAATCATGTGCCTGAGT